CCAGAGAATACTTAAGCTTCATCCTTGTGACTTCTCAGTTTGGGAATGCAGTGTGATGGCTAATCAAAAATAGCTTTTTTGCATATTTTAGTAATGAAAACCTACACAGTTTCCTCTATCAACGCTACCTGGTTTAGTTATTTAGTTATATATTTACTGACTATGTTTGACCCGGTATAGTGCTTATACAATACAAAAATGTCAAACTTAATTTCAATACTAAAAAGGCTTGGTACCAAATACCAACTTTGATACTGCAATAATGATTTAAAATACTTTCTTTTTAATTCAATATATTACCATTTTCAACATTGTCATATGAGCCATTCATTCAATATTATCAATTATCATTCATCAGTATTTATCAGTATGCAGAAAGGTCAAGTATTTTTTCAGTATAGACTCCTGCTCAAATAATCAATTTTGATAAAGTAACTGTGTTGACCCATTTAAAAAAAAAAATTGACTGCATAAGGCACACTGTTTTTTCTTTCTATTTTTTTTATATTAGTTGACTGCTATCGCTTATTCAAAAATATTGGCAATACTTAATTATATATAATTTTGCATTTGGTTTTGCATGTGCCAACTGTCTGTGGATGGTACTGTCATAGCTGTATTTCTCCCATAGTAAGTTTGTAGGTCTCTGATTTTGCAACAGGAAGCTATTATTATCATTACCTCAACATTAAACGGGTTGGTCCTGTGTGTATTGTCCTAGACACTCAAAGTTGTTTTTATGGAATTAGTCACGCACCACTGGTCAAACTCAATGGGGCTTATAACCTCCGCCAAGGAGAGAGTATGTTCTCAACAACACTGGATAGTTACTTTGTTTGTTGGCAGTTCGTCTCTTAGTACTAAAACTCATAAACTGACTGTCAGACCTTCATAATATTCCCCAAACTAAATTACCATGAAATACATCACAGATCTTGACTTTATCCACGCATTTTGTCAAATAATATTGTACCACTGAAAGATCAGGCCTAGTTTTCTTAAAGCATAAAAAGTAGGATTTGAAACAAGCACATGCGTAACTTAAGATGGCAGAGATAAGAGTGGAACACATTATAGCATGCACAAAAATGCAGACAGACTAGAGATGTTATTGTGGTAGAAAGTGATGGACTTTGACATTTTTAAATACTATTTAACACATGATACAATGTACAGAGTTGGCACGGTTGCAACCTTGGTGACAACTGTAGGACTATTACTAACAAAACATAATCAGTAGGGTTTATTGGATCATGTCAAATACAGCCGAGTGTATGACTAACTAACAGCATTCTTACTAATATTAACTCTGCTAAATAGTTGTCACAGTAACCGCTAGTTTCATGGATTATAAAACATCTTAGGGAGGGTTTAATAGCAGACAGAGTTTCTTGATGACGTATTGTGCTATGGTGGACAGTTAAAAAATTCTGTAATATAGATTTTAACAATAGCTGCCAGTGTAGAACTTAAAGGTGTACTGCGCTGGAGGAGCAAGCTTGCCTTCATGGATATCATTGTTTACTTGAAATGTTCCACAGTATGGCACTAAGCTTTTCTATCTTCATGGAGACAAACATGTGATGCCATCGAGCCAAGTTAGAGGTTAAGTTTGACAAGGTTTTTAAAAAGTTTTTCAAAGTATTTGAGAAATAAAACCACCTGTAATTGAGCAAATGCAAGATGGAAACGTTTAATGCCATATTATGGAACATTCAAAAGCAAACTATGCAATTTCTATGGGGGGAAGCAGGTAGCTGACCCTCCACCTGAAAGTTACACACTACACCTTTAACTTTGTTTTTAATCCAAAACTCATCCAAACATGAACTGGTATGTGTGTTCACCTGTTTTGTGTGCTAGGATGTTCAGCCTTTAACTAACAAAGAACCTCTTGTCAAATCAATCGTGAATTTTGGTGAGAAACTATTCTGAAATGATTATGACGTGTTATCTTAACATCTACACAAATTAATAGATCAAACTGTTAATAATGACACCTTGTATTAAAAGACAGAAATCATTTCAGTGTATCAGTGGAAAGGCCCAGGAGAAAAAGCCCCTGGAGTTGTTAGTTTTTGTATCTCTATTGAAAACACATTCATCTATTACCCACTATGTCAGATATTCAGATGTTTTATTTCACTTTGTGGAGATGAACAGGTATATTATACAATATATAAGGTGTAGTGCATGAAATATAAGCAGTATGTTCCCCAGTGCCCCTCAGTACATTGTGTGTTATCAGTTGAGATGGTTTATTGTTTCCCATTCAAAGTGCTTATCAGATGGTGCAGTCATTAGTTAAAATATTTTGTAACAGCTTTATGTAAGGTAGAGCTGTGCAATTAATCACATTTATAATCGTGATTTTACTGATTATTATGTTCAGTTATAAATATGTTTTTGATTATACAATTACCTTCTGGTCTGCATGATACATGTGCTTGTTCTGCCACTCAAAACTTGGAACAAAGCCACTTTTCTAATCTACATAGGCTAATAAACCCGGTGTTCTCAAACTTTTCACTTCAAGTACTACCTAATATAATATTTGGCTTTCTGAGGCACACCAGATCTAAAGTTTATCTGGTCTCAATTAGAACTAATTAGAACATGTCTAAAAGTGATGAAACCATGGATAAGGTCATTCTCAGTAATGATTAAACTAAACAAGAACAAAATCATGAATATATTTGTCTAAATAAAAGAAATACACAAACTGCAGAGGGTCCCACGTACCATTAGTCATGTACCACAGTTTGAGACATACAGTTCCAAACTAAATTTTCACAAAACTAGGATTGCCTGTACTTTCTCTTCAGGCTTATTTTCACAGTAAAGGTATAACTGAATAGATTGTGATTTCAATATTCAGCCAAAAAACATGTCTATAATTTATGCCTTAATCAAGCTACCCTTGTGTGTCACCATGTTTTTCTAGTCCCAACCGACAGCTGTACATTTTCAGACACACTTCCCCTCCTGGCTCCAATGAAAGCACCTGGAATAGACATTTTGTGATACCTGTTTGCCGAAGTGCTTAGACCTGTCACCATTTATCACCTCTGCATTTTTAGCATCCTGTGTAATCTGTCATAGCGTGAACAGAGCAGACCCGTAATGAGTCTAGCAGCCAGGATCCCAGGAAGAAGAAATCATGATCCCCCAAAACCTGCATGTGGTTTGTCCTGGGGTAGATTTAGCCAAATGTTTCAAAGTGTGGTTTGGGATGTATGCGTCTGACCACCTGCGGTTGCCAGGGCTGTTGTCGAGGAAAGAAAAAGCGCCATACTGTGAGTGTATGTTGATTGAGGTGCTGTTTAGTGGGAGAGTCCATGGGGTAATTGGATAAGCAGGTAAGTGGAGATGGGACAGGGTCATTTGGATGGTAAGGGTCTGTCATGGCCTTCCTTTTAAGGGGGTAGGGGTGTGTGCGTTTTTGTGTGTGTATTTGTGTGTGTGTGTGTGTGTGTGTGTGTAAAGGGGACTGCAGCGGAAGGGCAATATGATCCCAACTGGATTCAGGGGCCCACACTTTAGGTCCTAGAGCGATCTGGCAGTGAAACTCAAGATGCAGCATTTGGAGGGGTGCAGGGCGGTCTACTTATTTGTGATGTTTGTTCAGGCCTAAAGTTGCTGTTACTTTAGATACCTGTAGTTTTTTTAATACATATAAAACAAGTTACTTTTCATTTGTCACAATGTTTATTTATTTGTTATTTTATATTTACCACATCCTAGCACAGAATCAGCTTTTTAAAATAGTCAAACAAAATGTCATGTCATCTCAAAACGCCAAACAATGTAGTGAATCTAAAACCCAACATTTAGTGTATTTATGTTTGGGAGATCATTTAAAGATGCAAGATATAACTTTTTTGGTGGAGTGCTTGCCACTAGCTTGTCTCCATGGTGATGCTATTTATTTATTTGCCTAGATTAGACTGAATATATTCCACAGTACGACATTAAATATATCTATCTCCATGGAGACAAGCAGGTGGTGCCACCAGCCCAAGTTACAGGATGATTTGAAGAGAGATGACTGCTGACAGCAAGAATGCTTGTTTTTCAATGTATTTTTGAGTAATCAAAACATGCAGAATTGAATTAAGCAAATGGAAAAATGCAACACTAGTGGAACAGTCCAAACAGAGCAATAACATCTTCATGGAGACAAGCCAGTAGCGGACCTCCCACCAGAAAAGTTAAAATAGAGATAATAAAGATAATGATAGAAATTGAACTTCCAGCAGTGGTTCTAGACCAGGTTCTCCGAGGGCCAGAATAATGTTTTCTTTATTGACTGATGTATGAATTATGAGTGAAATGAAGGAATGTTATTTAGTTTCATAGGTTGGACTAGACTATAAAATGTACACTCTATTAGCTGTGGTGTGGAAGCAGATCAAGTCCTCTGAGCATATTTGTCATGCTGCTACACGCCTATCTTCACTTGAAGTTGAAAAATGAAGATCCCTTGGGCTAAACAGGGCCTTTTGGAGGGTTTTTGTTGAGGTTACAGTTATGCAGGCACAATCAAAATGTCTGATATGAAGCATGGGTGACACTACAGCCATCCCCTTTACAAATGCATTGTAGGTATTTCATATATTAGGCCTTGTTGTAAAAAAGTCTATTTTGTTTTGCTTGTAACAGATTCAATACCACTTTGGCCAGTGGAAGTGAATTCATTATACTTCTAACCACTTATTTCACTTTAATGTATGCCATACAAGTTGGTGCACTTCACTTGTCTCCATTATACATGTTGTTTTGGATTTTTATTTTTTTTTTTTTACATTACATGTGTTTTTACTGTTCAAAAATACCTTGAAGAACTTTCTTTCTTATTGCCAACCAGGTCACCTCCCCACAGATCCGTCCTGTAACTTAGCCTGGTGGCCTCCCATGGTTGTCTCCATGGAGAGCCAAGCCAGAGTCATGCATTGTTGTAACCATTCTGATAAAAACTGTTTGTGTTTTTCTTTCCACAGTGATTTGAGCATGAACAACATAACTGAACTGCCAGCCTTCGTCTTCAAGAACCTGCCCTATTTGGAGGAACTGTGAGTACTTGCCCCCTGGTTAATGATGTATTTACTTTGTCCCATGTTGAGATAAGGGCTTTAGCTTTAAGATATGCACCTGGCACTTTGAGTTATTCCTAAAACAACATATGTGTAACACACAGAGGCTGCCCTTCCTCTGCGCTGTAGGTCGCTCACTAACAACTGCATTTGGCAACAGTCACTCACCATTCATGAAATCAGGCAGTTATAAAGACACACTTAAGCTCTATCAAAAAAGGTGAGACAGCGTGTATTTACCGTCATGTGACATCCTGATTTGTGCTTTTAAGGGATTAAGGGTGGCAGCAGTTCTGTGGGGCCGTACAGTGCGGCACCATCTAATCTCACTGTGCGGTTGTTATTTCTCTGTTCTTTAAATGCTCCGCTGTCTGGCGCAGAGGGCTAGATAAAATCAGTCTACCTGATATCAGGTAACACACGCAGCCCTGTGAATGACCAGCAGCCCTTTTGTGGCAGTGTTTTTCAAAGCTCTTGTGCATCTTTCAGCCCGAGTCTTCCCCCTCTTCTTGTCCGTGCACAACTCCAATCTGCTTTGTCAAAGGGCAATTTACTTTTCAGCGCATTGTGTGGAGGAATGCAGGGCAGGAAGGAAGAAGGCAAAACAATGGTTACCGAGGCAACAGGGCAAAAAGACCAAACCCACCTAGTTTCTCCCAGGCCTTTTGGAGTGTGGATGTCCAATACAAGGCACAGGGGCCAAGTATACCCATGACTCACTATTTTTGGTTACCAGTGATATTTGAGATGTATTTTTGCTATTAACAGCTACACCTTGCCAATATAAACTCATCATAGGGGGCAATACGCAGCGCCTCTGCCTTAGGTCTCTGTGTTTTGCAATAAGTGGGTACAAACTTTTGACAGCAAACCATCTGTCTCTTTAATTTGATAATCTCAAACCTACATTGTGTAGAGATTGAGCGATATGGGCTTCTTACGCAATCTTGTATCAGCGCTAGGGGTGAGCACAATGAATGTGATACATGCATATAATGGCAGTAACAATTAGTGTTTGGACTGGGATTTGTTAAATGGTACTGTTATGTTTATGTTATGCATTATATTAGAGGTCATTTGTATTTGTTTTTAAATAAAACATTTATTGATCCGTGTTTTTATTATATTGCCAGCCCAACTGTGCAAAATTCTAATATTAACCCAAGCTACAAACTTACGTAAATGCCAAATGAAAACTTGTATCAGTAATAGCTTTTTTATATTGGCCACATTATACGGTAGCCTTTCTTAGTTTGAAGCGAGGCTGCCTTTGATCTTCACTATCACTGATCTGTCACTGCGGTGTGTTTTTGATCATTTGTGATTGACAGACCATTTCTGATCCTCATTCTTTTTTCCTGGGAATTAAATTGTGAACTTTGGTCCATGACTTTTCCGCTGAAGGGCTGCAGCAGCGTGAGTGAACCAGAGCATGAGGCCTCAGGGCAAAGGGAGAAGAGAGAGAAGACAGAGACAGATCAGGCAGCTACGAGTGAGCGGACCTTTTCTTATAAGACACAACACAAGAAGAAATAACATTGCCTCCTTCGTAGTCACGCAACTCCCCTCCGGCCTCAGTAATCCCAGCCAAAGGCACAACAAAGCTCTGCAGACGTGATGACAGCTCCTCAGCAGTTTGTTGATATTCGTGAAACTTACCTGTGACCAATAAATCAGGCGAGTGAAAGCGTGACATCTGGGCTATGGCTTTATGGTTGGGAGGTGCCGAGTGTTTGTTTTTGTACTCATTTATATATAGTATGGTGGAAATAACTCATCTTTAATGTGACATATTGTTTTCCATTGCTTTTATTCCCACATCATTGTATATAAATATAAGATTTGTTGATGATTTGTTTTGTGAAATTGTTTTTTTTTTTTTTTTTTTTTTATGTACTGTAGTGTGTTATGATATGTTTGACTAACATTTTCCATCTTCTTGCAAAAAACTGCATGGTGGCCTACACTGTGTGTGTGTGTGTGTGGTCACCTCTCCACAGATCTGACCTGCAACTTGGCCTGGTGGCAGCACCTGCTTGCCTACTGGGGCAAATCTCAGGCAAAGCATTTACATCTCTACCTGAGACCTGTCATGATAATTACTGTATCGTTCAATATATGAAAGCTGAACAAGATATTTTTGGGGCTCAATTTATTTATCTTTTGTACAATTTCTTTGCAAAAGCACCATTTTTGACATTTTATGTAATAAGATAAAATGTAAGCTGTACAGGGTAGAATAAATTAGCCTGCTATTTGCTCATGATATATGTAATGAGCTGGATGTATGTAATGTAATTGGTATTAAGCTTTTCCCAAATCTCATAGGAAGAAGGGCAATAACGTCTTTCCCCTTGATAAAATTCACCAAACATTCTCTTTGTTCTGGCTTTAAATCCTCACTCTCGGGAATCATTGCCAACACAGACTGTATGGTTCTTCGCTGATTGGATGGTGCCCAGACTCGCACTTCTGGTGTTCTTCCAAACTGTCTAGTGTATTCTGATTCCTGACTTAGTCGCTGGAGAGAAATTAAATTGAGCAGAGGCACTAGGTGGCACCAGCCTGGCTAAGAATAAATAACTTCTATGGCTAATTATTGGTTCATTCGGCTATTTATTTGTTGCAGCTTTGATAATACAGTTTAAAAATTTACTGTATATACTGGATTTATCTTGGTTTGTGTCAGTGGTATGAAGTACTTTCAATATAATCGTTTATACAAGTAATTCTCTAATATTTTATCGTACTGCGAAATTTGTTATCGTGACAGGCCTATCACAGTTACAGTTAGCTTAAAGGTCCTACATTACACTATTTTCTGGTCTATGTTACATACCTGGAGTTGTATTTTGTTTCATTCACACATGACTCACACTCTGTTCCACCTTGTGATGTCATGTGGAAATACAGGAAGTGCTCCACTGTGTTTTTAAACTCCATACATCTTCACTAGAATCATTTCGATAATTTCAGCTCTGGATCTGCTAATCTGTACTGAAAACTATTGCTTCAGAGCATTCTGAGCTTTGTAGATGTAAACAGATTGATAATGTGTATATATATATATATATATGTATATATATATAATATATATATATATATATATATATATATATATATATATATATACATATATACATATATATACATACATATATATATATATATATATATATATATACACACATATATACATATATATATATACATATATATAGATATATAGATAGATATATATATAGATAGATATAGATATAGATATACATATATATAAAACTCAAACGTGTGAATGAAACAGAACACAACTCTGGGTATGTTTTTGATGAGGTAACAAGATTCTAACATGGCTTAAAGCTTACAAGAGTCAATTTTGCATAATATAGGACCTTTAATGTGCTTATTTAACTGTCTTAGAGTGTATATATAGGTGTAGGTATATAGAGCAGATGCATTTGCCCCTGTGCACAGGGCGGTTCTCAGTGTGTTCCCTCCTGACAAAGGTAGACATGTGGGAGTGGAGTTTCACAAGGAGAGGATTTAGGCTTTTCTCTTCCTGAGATTTAGCACATTCTTGGGTCTGGTCGGTCCCTGAGGCGACACGTCCTGAGTCTGCTGAAAGATGCATGAGGTGAGAGCATCTTTATGTTGGGAAACTTACAACACTGGCCATGATTTAAACCTTTAATAGACAATTGTAAATAAAAGACAATGCTAATAAATCAACAGAATTACTTTTCTTCCCAATTTGTGCTGGGGTTTCCATTTCAGGTTTGTCAAATGGATCTGAAGGTAATGTTAATGAGCCATACACATAAAACAGGCACTGGTCTTTATACACTGAAACTATAGGACTATTCATTTTATTTAATTGTGACTCCAGTTATATCTCTATATATACATAACAACATAAAAGATAATTAAAACTTTACATATTTAATAATCAATAAGGGAATTATGATTTAAATTATTACCCAGATAATAGTTCTAACCACAAATGACCTGATTAGGTTTATTGGTTACTGTATTGCCTAATTATTATTGCTTTATTATTACTTCAGTAGGACTGGGTGATGAGTTTTTCTGGAAATGATTAAACACAATTTATGTTTTCATTTTATTTTGACTTAAAATGGCTTTGAATACATACTTCTAATTAGTGCCATTTATCACAAAAACTAGTAAAATTTCTTCCTTCAAAGCCTTGCATCTGCTCCAAACCACATAATAATGATATTAATACATTTTATTTATTTAGTGCTTGTCAGGACACTCAAAGACGCTTTACAAAACAAATATTAAAACAGTCAAAAGCGCAATAGACAAATAATACAGTAAAGATAAAAGCAGTGAATCATATGCTTTTACTGACAGAGCTTTGGCTGTGGATCTCTCAATTCAAAAGCCCTTAGCTGATCACTGCCAATGTGAAACAACTGACTCTCGATTGGATAAAAAATGTATAACTGTGCATCCCTATTTCCCATTTACTGCTGCTTCCACACTTCCTGCTTTCGGGAGGGCATCTGGCATAAAACATCTGCCTTGTGTAATTGCTTTTACATTATATTGAGTTATGCTGTTATAAAGTTCATTAACATGGCCACATGGCTGGTAGCGTGTGACAGTGGCTGCGGTCTGTGGGTGATTTAAGTTCTCAAACTCTGAGGTCATATCAACAGAGCGACGTTATTGGCTGCAGAGAAACAAACATGATTCAACAGCTCCAGGCAAGATTTATGTCACCGTAGACTCATTTTGATTTATGCCCCTTATTTAGATGTTACAAGAACTACTGCCAGAGAGGTCTCATGCTTAAAACAACAGAATAACACAATAGCTCCATTTTGATAAGCTAACGTTATTAATGGAGCTTTTCCTACACTTACTGTATTTCTTATGCAAATACAATGGAAACATTTGGAGACATTTAACGACTGAAAACAGGTTAGGCACACACTGAAGTTGTTCCCTTCACGGATTATAAAGCAATAATGATAAGGTTGCGTATAGTCTTACCTATGACATGTTAACAGTTATAGGTGTGTCAGCTGTCTGCACCGCTGCTCCTTAAGAAATTGATTTACTGTTACTGTGTTTTTGCTGTCATAGCCTTATCTATTATCTATTGTAAATCTCAGTTTTTAGTTTAGATTTTGTAAATTTTAGACATTTGTTCACTATACCAAAAATTGTATAGAGATGCACCAAACTAGATACCATTCAACACAACAAAAACAAACTAAGGGAAAAAAATGGGCAGTGTTTTACTTAAAGGTGCAGTGTATAACTTTTGTGATAGAGGGTTCACCATCTGCTTGTCTCCATGGGGATGTGATTGTTTTACCTGGAATGTTCCACAGTACTCTATTCAACTTGACGGTTTTGCATTTATTCAATTTACAGGTGTTTTTATTGCTGAAAATACCACAGTTCTGACCTGTTTCTTGGACTAGTTTTGTTTCTGTTTATCTTCATAGACATAGATGACTTTAATGCTTTACTGTGGAACATTCCAGAGAACAGCTCCATGGAGAGCAGTTGGTAGTAGACCCTCCACAAGAAAACATGCATAGTGCACCTTTGACTAATTGGCCTAATTCCCAACCAGTTTTGATCCAGTCTTGATATCAGTTCATTGTATTATTATAATATTGTGCAATCGCTTTATTCTAAGTCTAGCCTGTATTTGTAAGTGTTAGTGCATGATTAATGGTAGTTGGAGGAACCATGGTGTCGACATAGATTGGCAGCCATGCTTCAGTCATTTATTATTCCCATATTTGTTTACATTTTTTGTGCTGTATACCTGCATAGATTTACCCCCCGTATGCTTCAGGGGCATCTGGACTCCAAATGCTGTGGTCCTGGTTCACACCCAGCAGCTCTTGTTGCAGGGAATTCAGCCTGGACTCAAGTTGCAGAGTGATAAATCTGCTGCTAATCTCCCAGGCCAGATAATATACTGGGGATATGTGCTCCGCTCAGCCTGCACCCTCCTTATTTACACCCCTGTTTCCTATGCACTTCCTCTGCACCCTCCAGGAAAGGGCGGAGTGCACCATCTTTAAACGTCCACTGTGCTGACTGAGTAGATGCAATGTGGGTATTAAAAAACGTTATTAAAATAATATCCGCTATAGACACGTGGTTTATGTGGCCCCTGGGATCCGTGAATAGTGAGTGTGAGAAGGTCAGAAGGCGATAGGAGCGGGGGAGATCCAGGACCAGCCTAATCTGCTGGAGGTGACGAACGAAGTGACAACAGGCCGTGGCAAACACACATGTCTTTGACACCCCAGGACGGAGCATAGGGGGTCTCTAGTGATGGGAAATACTCAAAGTCTGTTATTTTTAGGAAAAAATATACATTAAATCTAAATAAAATGCCCTCAAGCATGTATCAGGAAATATACATGTACATTTGTATAATCATGCCTTATTTCGCACCAGTTTCTTGCTATTTTTTATTATTACCATTTATATTTTTGCTCTTTGTTATTATAATCTATTGTGATATGTGAACTACTGTGTCTGAATAATTTTCCTTATGGATCCATAAAGTTTGTCTACGTCCATCTGCCTGAATTGTGTACTGAGTGATTTGGATATTGTTACATCTGTAACCGTGAGCCTCCCCACCATATCATGAGCTTTCCCATGATATCGCAATAAATATCGTACCGTGAGGTTCATACCATGACTATATTGTACTGTGAAACTTGGATATCATTACACCCCTACTTGTTAAAATGCAATTTTGTATAAACATAGACATATTTTGTAATATTTTCATGCAAAATATAAAAAAGAGAGAATTACTCAAATATTAATGAAAACTTTAGTAAGTAATAATAAAAAAAAACATATCCAAATATTGAAAGTGTATCTTATATTTGTTGTTTGTGTGTTTAACAGGCGTTTGGCGGGAAACTACTTGTCATTCATTCACCCTGAGGCTCTGTCTGGACTCCATCAGCTCAAAGTCCTGTAAGTGTGGCCTCCTCCTCCTTAAACCTGCTGTACAAAGACCCTCACTTAGAGCGGTCCTGTGAACTTTTCCACTCACACCAGAGAGCAAATATTAGCACAAGTCTGCTAACACTTGGGTCCTTTTAGTACACTGCCACACAACTTTATCTACCTATGACTAATCGTAATTGTAAAACTATGTTTCTTTGCATATTTGGGTGTAAAAATGACACACAACAATTTTCTTGATTATTATCTGCAGTGTATACAGTAAAAACACAATGCCGCTACATGTTGACTCTGCCTTAAGCTAACATTGCATAGTGCTGTTGACCTGCGGCTGAAACGTTGTATAAGAAGCACAAACACTTGGGGGAGGAAACTTTTTTTTTCTATATTCAAATGGTAAAACTACACGGCTGAAAGCAAATCCAGTGTTATGTGATGATAAGCAAGACTGGAACAACCATTTTGTAACCATTGAGGTCCAAATACAAGGAAGTCTTTGTTTTGTTTTTTGGGATGACGTGTTTCTACTAACATTTATTCTTACTGATGGTGATACTTTGTTCCAGTGTAATGGAGCATAAATTGTGTACTAAGTAAGCATAAGAAATAAGACATCCAGTATATCCAATCTTGTTAACACAGTTTTCCCTTTCTTTTCTGTAACTTGCACTTATTTAAAATGTATTTCTATTACAGGTTGTTCTTGTGTACAGTATAAATATGTCAAGAATTTACATTTTAGATAATCTCATAGTATTTCAATGCATTGGTATATTGACTGGATTGGATTGAAAACTCCAAAAGTAAATTAGGCGAGAGTGTGGTGTTGCCATTGTGTATTTGTTGTAGCTGCTGCTAAATTGACCATTACACCTCATCAAAACATGCATAGTTGTGTTTTGCTTCATTCACAAATGTTTGAGTAACCCTTTTTTTATTAATCTGACAACATCTCAAAAGCTCAAAATGATCTGTTCCACCTTGTGATGTCATCAAGCAGTTCCAAGGCTGAAATTATCCAAATTATTAAAGGTGTATCTAGTTTAAAAACACAGTGGAGCACTTCCTGTATTGATATGTGACGTCACAAAATGGAACAGTCTTTTCATTTCATTTCAGAGAGGAGAACTCAGCCTACATATGTGGAGTTTGTGCGTTAAACATGTGTGATTGAAACAAAACACAACTGCAGGTCTGTTTGTGATGAGGAAACAACATTATAACAGATTTGAAAATAGCCTAATTTTAAAACACATGAGTTTGCTTGTGCTATTTTTGTTTGTATAACCATAATTTCTGAATATACATTTTTCTTGCAGGATGCTTCAAAACAACCAACTGAGGACTGTGCCAAGTGGCGCCTTGAAGAACCTCCACTCTCTCCAGTCCCTGTGAGTCATGTGACCAGGCTGCTTTTGTTGGGTTTAAGTGGGCTTTTCCTTTATGCTTCCAACGTACCGGGGTCTAAACTCTGATCACTGTTGACACACTTAATTATGATGTATGTCGTTCAACAGTGATTTTGACAAAGACCTAAATTTGTTTTCAGAAAGCTTAGTAATTATCATAGAGTAAAGAAGACCATGCTTTAGTATAAAAAACTGATTGAACAAGGAAGAGATCAAAAAGGTCTGAGGCAAATATTATAAAAGTCCTTTATTGGTTATATGGGAAGGGTCAATGCGTGTTAACACAGGGGTGGCCTAGTTAGGGCATTTATAGTAAGTAAAGCAATCATTAAGTGACCGTCTTTAATAAATACGTAAGAATTACAGCTTTTAAAGTTCTCTAAATGACAAGTTAAAGGTGCAGTATGTAACATTTCTGGTGAAGGTTCCTTTAACTGTGTAAATGAGTTGGTGCAATTATTCATCCAGGAGTGATCCATGACAGAAATTTTGAAACTGTTATTGAAATTTAGATTTTTCGACTGCTATCCAGAAAAATTATTTGTCTTTAAAGTCTTTTCTGCTACTTTGCCCGAAATGTCCCAGAGCTCAATACCTTGATGTATTCTAAATTTGAGTGGCTTGCCTCTCCACAGATCTTTATTTTATTTAACTTTTACCTAACCAGGTAAAATGTTTGAGATCTGATTTGCTGTTTGGTTGTATGGCAACACTTGTTGTCTTCATGGAGATATATATGTTTAATGCCATACTGTGAGACTTTCCAGACAAAGCAACAACATCTCCTTGGAGACAAGCTGGAGGTGTACCCTCCACCATAATATTACATAGTACACATTTAGTTCTATTATAATTATTTCTCTAAAAGAATCTTCAAGTGTTGTTTTGCGTGTTTACTTATTAAAGAACAAAAATGCCCCCAGGGATCAATATTTGCGTAACAAATGTATGCAAACGAGATCTGGGTTAATTTGGTTTTAGACTAAAATCAACAGAGCAGCTTTTGCATCGTGAATGACAGCACTTTAAGATCTGTCATCATAAGTGAAATACATGTATCCGTAAGGTCATAGTTGCTGCAGAAACACTTCCTGTTAGTCTCCAAATGTCCCTTGTTCAACATTAAGGCAAATTCTAAGTGATGAGAATGGACCGATCACACTGTTTATGTAGAAACACACTTAGATCTGTCTTAATTTACACTTTTTAATTTACACTGATGTCATGACCACTGTGCTAGAGCAGAATTGCACAAGAACAGTGACAATGTTGTAGGGTTGTCAAAAAAAAAAATCAAGACCTCAGTACTAATCAATACTAACACTAGCATTGAAACTAGATACTCATTTAAAGGGCACATATTGCACAATTTTCTGAACGATGTTATAATGTTGTTTCCTAATGACAATCATATCCGGAGGTGTGTTTTGTTTCATTCACATGTTTAACACACCAATCCTGTATATTTGGGCTGAGTTCTTCTCTCAAACAGAAAACACTATGTTTCACCTCGTGATGTCATGTGGTAAAACAGGAAGTGTTCCACTTTGTTTTTCACTTTTAATTTACCTTTACCAAAATTATTTGGTTGATTTCAACCCTGGAAATGCCTGTCTCTACTGAACTAAAGGTAAAAGGTAGCTGTTAACTTGAAAACTACTACATGTTATCACAAGGTGGAAGAGAGCATTTGGGAATGTAGTCAGACTAATAATAATGGATAATTCAAACAATCAAACCATTCAATGTGTGAATGAAACAAAACACAACTCCAGGTTTGTTTTTGAGGAAATTACATTATATTTTTTATGGACTGTTAGTGTTATTCTTTGTATGAAGTTTGAAACTTTAACACCTCTGACCGTAGTAAATTGGGCTCAAATTGTTCAAGAGCTTACAGAGAGTATACCAGAGTTATAATATTTTTGCAAAATGAATCATTTTATGATGCTTCACCTTCAGCTCCTTTCATCTTTTGAAACTAATGTACAAATTAATAGAAACAGTACATAGATATTGTCCTTAACTTCCTCTGTGTGTAACAGATGGCTCAAGTAATATTCCTCTGAAAAATGTTTGTAAAAAAAAAAAAGTGAAGGCTTCATGTCAATCAACTCTGTTTTTCTTCCAGCCCAGACACTTGTGGAATTTTGAGGGAGTGTGAGAAAAAGAATTTGAACTAATGCTTCAGTGAATAGTGAGACTGTGCATTCAAAATAGTGGAAATTATGTTACTTGTTGAAGGTACATGAGGTGGCAGTGGTTCAATATGGGACAATGTTAAGATGGGAGTGTAATGGGCGATTCTGAGTGCAATAAACTAAACAAAAATATACATTAACTTGGCTTGGACTGACACTCAATTGGGGTATCAAAAAATAAAATACCCTGATACCCAGATACTAAAACCAGTATCTCCAGTATCAAAATAAGATAATCATTTGAACAAGTATTGATACTGAAAAAAAACTCTAACAGTTCACCTTTACTGAATCATTTTAGAATAGGCTTCATCTATATCAGAACAGAAAATGTACATGACAACACTATTATCTGTCTTAACATTCCTTTCTTCATTATACTATGTTAAACAATACTGAAAATATTAAAGATTGTAAGTTCCTGCACAATATTTACTGTGAGAATCCAAGGACAAACATGAGACGGCTCCATTGTAATTATATGTATTACCCTTGACTGGAAATCTGCCAACTATGTGATTGTGAACCAGTGTCTTGAGCACATAATTGTAGGTAACTACTTCACTAGTTTTCTCATAATTGTTGTTAAAAATAAATGTTTCAGACTGGATTGCCCTGTCTGTGAAAATGGTGCCACTCCAGTGGTTAGAACTCATCATGAGCTTTTAAGGATTTTATAATTGAACATAAACAACTTCTGAGCTATTATAATAAAGCTCTATTATCTAAGGACATACCTGTGTTGACAGAGTGATTCCAATGAATAACCACCCCAAAGTTTGGACCAAAATGAATACTAAACTTACCAAGTCAAGACAAAATTATGTCTCTGAATATTGTAGATTTAATCACATCACACAATGTACTTTGATTGAATGTAAAAATAGACAAATCTCATGTCAGATGGCACGTACAGTACATACACACATGCACACAATACATTACATTTAGTTTCAGATGGGACAAGATTTCGTGCCACAAGATCTCACAAGATAAAATTGCATATGAGATATAAGATTGCGCAGATATGTGGAAAATAATCTTGTGAGAATTCTTTTCAGTGTGTTTATATTTGGCTTGGGCAAAAACTGCTGCTGAGATACACCTCAATATACTGTACATACACAGCCATAGTTTAAAAAAGTAGTGCAAAATTGACGCAGAATATAAGGCCAAGGTTGTGAACTGAGTATTTATTTATGTTAAAGTACATCCCAAATCTTTCTAGAAATTGTCTCTTCTGTAGATTGTATATATAAATGGACATAACTAACTCTCTAGCCGCCACGTTCCAAATAGGAAGTGACCATGTGGGCACTTCCGGATCCATCGACTCAATTGTCACCTGTCTCTCTCTATATAACTGCTGCTGTGAGCCTCATCATTTTAGTCTTTTAAAATGTTCATATTAGCCCGCTCTACATGATAGTCCACAACATCACATTCTTGCCATAAAATAACATTTGCAAGCACACTGATAGTCCAACCTTGTACTTCTAGTGTCTAATAACACATATTTCCTCCTCTCATCCACAGGCGTTTGGATGCCAACCACATCACCAGTGTCCCGGACGACAGCTTCGAGGGGCTACAGCAGCTCCGCCATCTTTGGTTGGATGACAACAACCTGACGGAGGTGCCGGTGGCCTCTCTCAGACACCAGGCCAATCTGCAGGCCCTGACTCTGGCACTGAACCACATCTCACACATACCAGACAACGCCTTTGCTAACCTGACCAGTCTCGTTGTTCTGTAAGTCTCATCTGTTTAAATGGGAGTTTGAGTCATGGTTGTCAGCTTCGTGTAACATCATTTCTGCATCGAAAGCATCCACTATAAATCACTTGTGACATTTCCAAATATGCAGATGGTAGTCTGTCTGCACTGGCTATGCGTAGGCTGTCACAATAATTACTATATTGACTTATAATTACTTATTTGTTATTGACTGTAAATTAGAGACTGAACAAGCATTTTGGGGGTTAATATTTAGTGTGGGTACTTTTCATTTGTACTAGTGGGGATTTTTTTGTTATTTTTCTGTACCATCATAACATCAGAGATGCAGAGGGTTTAATAAATAGTTTTTTATGACTCATTCTGATTACAACCAACTTTTTTTTTTTTTAATAATATTGTACATTTATAATAGTGTTTAGAGGATAATCCTGTTTTAGGGTTATTGTGTCATGGGCACAATTTGAGATTAAATATTATCATTCATCATCTAATATGCAATATGTCACACGTCACAATTTGTTATTGTGATAGGCCAAGCTATGCTGACATTTTGTGTAGATATTGTCAGAATTGGAAAAGCCTTGTTGCCATAGTTAGCAAACATGATTTACAGAATGTCCCTTTGCAATTTGGTGCAATGTACAAGTCATAATAGTAAAAAAAAAAAAAAAAAATGAATGAAATAAAATAAAACCAAAAAAGAAGGTGAAATAAAATTTACTTTGTCTAAAACTAAATATAAAAAATTATATATACAATACACAAAATGTATAGGACAGCAGCTCTATGCAGGATTGCAAAATTACAAGGTATATCTTTCATTTGAATTCAAGCCTCCAGCCTCCCTCTTGGTTTAGTTTGGGGATTGTGTCCTGGTTTAGACTTGGTTTATCCAAATAAATGTCCCGTTTCATAACTAGACACTATTCTAGTGTTATATCTGTTATTTTATGTTTAGTTTTAGATTTGTGCTGAGCTTGAGATATGTGTTTTCATGTGCAGCCATCTCTCATCATGTCCGTATCTTATCAGCCCAGTGTCAGGACCAGTCCTTGTGGCTGAGCAGTTATTCTTTTTCAATGTCATAAAGTGATATTTAACACCTTTTTCCTGATAACAGTTACACAACATAGTGTGAGTTTTGTTCTACATTTTATAATATGTTTCCTAGCCATTTTGAACAACTTCAGTATTAGTTACTTTCTTCTATTTATGTCATAGGCATATATTGTAATGTGATGTAATGTAACAACGGTCATCTTGAACTACAGTCTTAAGTAGTACACTGTTTGGTATTAATTAAAGTGAACATCCTCCACAATAGCTCTGATAGTGGCCCTCATAGGCCTATATCCTAAATAACTCAGCAGGACCAACCTGCTGGTAGAGTTTGTAGGCTTAATTAAAGAGGCACACTGTTTACAAAAATGACCTGAGGGAGAAGTAGTGGGAGTTGAAATCATTGAGCGATAAGTATTTCTCCAGTTAAGACCTACATAAACTCCACCACAGCTGTGTTATGGCAGAGAGCGCTTGTATGTCCGATTTAAGGGCATTTCTGGTACAAACATTAACCCACTTTAGGATATTTATAACTTCACATTTAGGACAGTCACAGGGGTCACAAGTACCTGTTGAGTCTGCCCAAGTCCCACGTCGGGATAAAAGGAGAGTCTGTATCAGGGAGGTCATCTGGTGTACAGCGTACGCCATATCAATAGTATTTAACAGACTGCAGCCAGGACTGGACCAGGATAGACAACCAAGAAAGCCAAATATATCTTCTGAACTTTTCAATGTGACCATACCATTTCTCCACATAACCACACATATTTACATAAATTAGGCCTGTTGCAATAACACAGTTTGAAGGGAGATTTACTGCCACTGAAAACATCATGATTCTTTATGCCTTAATAAAACCCTGGAGCAGGGTTAACAGGATAACCCAAGCCCTTTCTAGACTAAGACATGGGGAATAAAACATTAACTGCAATTAATAAATAAATAAAAAGGACAATGTGAAATGTTTTTAGCTAGTATCTATAGCTATATCTACATAAAATGTTTTGGCCTATTATACAGCTCAAAATGTGAAGGTACTAAAACAAAAATCCAGACAAGGGCACATAAAAGATACACATAGAAGACTGAAAATAAAATGTGCATAATACTGATCTGGTCTGACTAAAATCTTGTTGGATAGTGGCACAAGTTTGGTACTAATGATGCGTAGTGTTCTTTATACATCCAGTCACACATAAACAGTGGTGGGTGCAGAGTGGTTTAGCTTCAGGCCCAGTGTAAACTCATCAGGATAAACAGGAAGAAGAGCCCTGTTCAAGTACACACTCAGACACACCTGATTCACAAACCACTGCTTCTCACAAATGAACCTAGGTTTTGTCCTAAGCGCTAAACCACAGACTTACTGTCTATTCACATCATTTTGCATCATACTAGTAAAGTTACATACTTTTAATTCCCTTACTTTTTGTAGGATTTGTTCTTTAAAGAGTAGTTTTATCAGAACATTCTCTTACTTAAACATATTCTGCTAAATTTCTGTTTAATACGCTACTACTACTACTACTACTACTACTACTACTACTACTACTACTACTACTACTACTACTACTACTACTACTACTACTACTACTACTACTACAACTACTACTATTACCAGTACTACTATCCATAGTAAACTATACTATACTAAAAGCCACCCATGGATTACAGAATGACAAAAAAAAAAATAGGACCGTTCACATTGCAAATAGCAATTTAAAACAACATTTTATGTCTTTCGAATGGTGTAAAGCTCTTAAAATTTTGAACATATCAGGAAGCTGAAACCCATGAAAATACTAAACATACAGATAGTGCTTGACATTCTTATATATTTATATATGTCTACTGTACTAATGGTTTCAACGCTTTGTCTTTTCCCAGGCATCTCCATAACAGCCGTATTAAGGCCATAGGGGAGAAGTGCTTTGCTGGTCTGGTGAATTTGGAGACTCTGTGAGTAATGTTTGTAATAGCAGTGTGTTTGTGTACATTAACAGCTCCCCGCCCTCTGCTGCTCCACTCCTCCAGACATCATTGTGTCCACTTCCGTCTTTAATTGCTCCAGGATAAATAGAGCAAAGTACACGATGCTTATCGACTGTGCCCTCCCACTGTTCACTTCCTCCGGCTGGAAAAAGTCTGTCTTCTTAACCAGTGTCACTCTTCCTCAAAATTGAGAATTTAGTGCATTTTGGTCCCATAAAAACACTTAGTATCCTTAACAGTTTATAATGAAATTTCTGAAGGCACAGGTCTTCAACTGGTTTCTTTCCTTGTAATGTTCCCCAGTAAGACATTGAAACTTATTTATCTAGAATGTGCGAATATGTATTTTCATTACTCAAGGTGGTGTCCCCACAGAGGCATTCCAAGGAAAGAAATCACTTGAAGTATTTTAACAATAACATCTCCACCAGAGAAGTTGCATAGTGCACCTTTTAGAAACAGTCATAGATCACTAAATTCATTTAGAAGATTACACTGCAGGTAAGTGATCAGCCATTTTGTTGGTTTTGTGATTATTTTTGTAAATAGTTTTTACAGTCGAAGGCAATATACTCAATATCCTAATCTGCCATATCTCCATAACAACATCCATTGAGAGCACATAGATAGAAACTGGTATAAATAAATAATGGACCAATGGATCAATATGCTTATTATTAGCATTTAAGACAATAGCAGAGGTAAATTAGCCTCATACATGAAAACTGTACATTTTCTTTAAAATGCTTAAGCTGTTAGACTGCACATACTTAAAATATGCAACAATTTTGTGACTTCCTGTTCCTATAATTTGTGTTGCAGAGATCTTAACTTCAATAAGTTGATGACTTTTCCCAAAGCGATCGAGGCCCTGCCCAAACTTAAAGAGCTGTGAGTATCCGTCCTTCTGGAGCTCCCTGAGGGGTGCATTTTGTTATGGGACAATGAGGATAGTCTCTCTACATAAAGAAGTCTTGTCACTGCATATAAAGGGACTCGGATATAGTGGCTAACGGGAGCTTGCTTTGAAATTAGCCCTACAATTCATTCATTATTTGGACATGAGTCTTATTTGGCGCACATTCCAGATGCATTTGCTCAAATTTGACACACAGTATATAATTACCTTCATTTACTCTCATTTGAAGTCTGGAAATAGAAGATGGATTGTACATTAGCAGCTTTTATTACAAATTACATTTAGATGTTAAAGTAATAAGTATACATATAAATCCTTAAATTTGCTGCTTCTTTAAATGTTTAAGTGAAGAAAATAATATTCAGCTCTGACATTGTCTTTACAAAAGATACGACACAAGCATATGCAAAGACATGTTTAATGTAATATATATGTAATATAATTTTAGTGTGTTAAAAGTTATGGATCTTAACAGTCCCTCCCATGTCAAGACCTTCTGCAATGTAAATTTTTCCTGTAGACATGAAAAACTAAATTTACATATTATTTAGCTATTCAGCTATGCAGCAACTAATGTTTTCAGTCCAAAAATATTGTAATAACTTTTTAACAGTTTATAATGTTTCAGAAACAGAGTTTGTGTGACAAACTTTATTGTCACTGATAATGTTTACTGCTGTGTGGAGCCAAAGTCTTGATTGTCTCTTTGACCTTCTTCCTGCAGTGGCTTTCACAGTAACTACATTGCTTCCATACCTGAAGGGGCCTTCCATAACAACCCCCTGCTACGAACCATGTAAGGTCACTCTCTGATCCACTAATACTACGCTCAAATACACTAGACACACTAATGACTGGGACAAATACCAGCGCGGTCTCTCTGTGTGAGCCTCATGTAGGACACAGGGCTTAAAAGTTTGCTACTAACTCAACAGTAGTGGGCTTGAGACTGGTGTTTAGCTATAGGATTTATTACATTGTACACTTGATAAAATACTAAAGCAGGTTAATCAACATAAGATGAGACAACTTTTTGTTGTTTTTCAGTTAACAAGTTAACAGTAAAATATAAGACAGTATTGTTTTAATTATTCTTTATAACATTAACTTTATATGGATCACTTATACTGTATCAAAGAGCTGTGGTTTATCAACTAGAATTTCAAATTTTGCTTTTGTTTCATTCACATTATTATTAGTCTGACTACACCTCCAAAACTCGAAATGCTATGTTCCACCTTGTGATGTCATGAAGTGGTTTTCAAGTTAACAACTACTTTTTACCATTTGATCAGTAGAGATTGGCAGTAATTCCAGGACTGAAATTATCCAATTGATTCTAGTGAAGCTGTATGGAGTTAAAAAACAGAGCGGAGCACTTACTGTAGAACCACTAGATCACATCATAAAGTGGAACAAAGTGGTCTAAACGAAGAACTCTGCCTAAATTTGCAAGATTTGTGTGTTAAACATGTGTGAATGAAACAAAACACAACTTCAGGTATGTTTTTGATGTGTAAACAACATTACAACATAGATCAGAAAATAGCAAAATCGGGCCCTTTAAGCTTTTGAACAGAATTATAATTAAAACTTTCACAGTCTATAGCTTGTGTCTTATGTTCACTCGCTCTAGAAGTTAGTGCTGTTCAAACCAGCTCATTCAGAAGCATGTCCAGTGTCCAGAAGATGGTGCCATTGTAAACTACTGCAGTGTGACCTTTTCCTTTTGTGTCACAGACATTTGTATGATAATCCTCTGTCTTCTGTGGGGGCCACGGCGTTTCAAAACCTGTCCGAACTGCACTCACTGTAAGTACCTCTACTTCCCACGCCTAATACAAATGTACACAAAGCACAATAAAATGTACATTAACATTAGGCAAGTTTATTTCTGTAGCACATTTTGTACATAAAGTAATTCAAAGTGCTTTACAGAATAAAAAAGACATTAAAATCACAATACAAACAAATGAAAACATAATTATCATCAAATTAACATTAAAAGAGAAGAGTGCTGAATAAAACCCTTTCAGTCATATGCACAGCTTAACAGAACCGTTTTGAATCAGGATTTAAACATTGTCAAAGTAGAGACCTCTCTTACAGGTTCTCTTACAGGTTGTGTTCACCATATAGACATAGACAAGCAGGTAGCGGACTGTCCACCAGAAATGTTACGCAGTGCACTTTTACCTGTCAAAAAAATTTTAAATAAAAATGTCTCAACAGAAAACCCTCAAATATCATAAATTCCAACATTGTTGTATTATTTCTTTCTCAGATTATTGTAGCTTTTGACACTAGAGTGAGAAAATCATTTCACCTTCACATGAACAGGCCCAGTAATTACAGAACAATTAACAATACCATTGGCATTTTCAGTTTAATAGCAAAAGTTTTTAGCTGTTTTTAGTTCCATCACAGTTTTAAGCTATGGGCTCCATGTCACATCACTTTACTATTGATGAACTAAATAGTGGTTCTGTGGACTGTTTTCTTCAGAATGCTGCGTGGAGCCAGCAAAATGGAGAACTTTCCCATTCTCACAAACACAAACAACCTGGAGAGTCTGTGAGTATCATAAGCACTTCAGTATTTTTTACTGTTTTATTTTTAAAAATGACTCATTCTGTTTTTATATTTTCAGGACGTTGTCAGGTACCAAAATATCTACAGTCCCTGCTCATCTGTGTGACGACCTCAAGCTTCTGAGAACTCTGTAAGAAACAATTCACTTTTTAAGCATACATGTGTACATTTGTTTAGAAAAGAAAAAAAATGATAGAATTGATAGTTGAGTCTGTGTCAAAATAATACTTGATTGAATTGAAAAACTAAATTATCATTTCAGTAATTTCACCTAATATAATATCTTAATAACTTCACTCAGTTTGCTCAAGTGAGAAAATACTATACCATTAATTGCTGGGTTTGAGCTGACATCACAACATAGATAAGTCATATTTATTACAGATGAGATAGGGCTTTGGTAAAATGTTAAAATATTAAAATGCAGGTTTTTGTTGAAACAGGCCATGTGTATGTGTGAAAATGATTATGGTTTGTTGATGGTTTAATGATGGTTTGTTCAACAGGGACCTCTCTTACAACAGCATAGTGGAGTTGCCTTCTTTCCAGGGCTGTGTCCGACTCCAGGAAATGTAAGAAACAAATGACTAAAAAAGTGATACAACTTAAGTTAGGAATAAATTACTGATGAAATACAAGAAGTAGAGTAGTGGCACTTTTATTATATTCATTGTTATGTTTTTATTTTCCAATTTGCAGAAGCTTCCAGCATAACTCCATTCAGAAAATCGACCGAGACACTTTTCAGGGTCTCTCTTCTCTGCGTTTGCTGTGAGTCAACCACCACAACACAACCTCCCCAATGTTTACAAGTCACACACTGAACTATGTGCTGTTGTTGTTTTTACAGAGACCTGAGCAGGAACCAAATCCGAGTCATTCACAAAGATTCTTTTCTCACACTGTCAGCACTTACCAACCTGTGAGTACAGATAATGTTTGTAAAGGTACCACAGTTGTAGGGACACATCTCTCATTTCTAAATGTGTGGAAATTGTGGGATTTTTCTTGTGAAAAGGCAGATTAAACTATCCAGTCACTCCCAAAAACCCAGCTAACGCTTTCCCTGCCTTCTCCTTTCTGCTGTTGTGCATTTAAATCCTTGTAATCTCCATAAAATAATTAGTTGATTAATAAATAATAATAGTAGTAGGTGCGGTTGAAAGGCCCCAAACACATTGCACGCATCAACGTTTACGTGCACGAAGACGGCCACACGGCATCTCCAGCAGGACATATGTTTGCGCGGCACTGCCTCTGTGTTTGTCTACAGTGAAAATAACTGAATGGGCTTGTATTTACCATCTGCACAGGAAGGCCACAGCAAATGGCAGCATTTCCAAAGTAAATTTTAAAGCACAAATTAACAGTCTTTCTGAACCTGGGCTCCTTCAACGACACCTAACTGTCTCGGGCACACAATGTGTTGATGTTAAACAACAAATGCTTGTTTTGTATGTGATTTGATTGGAATACTCATAAATGCCTACGCTCCCCTAAAGCATAAATAAAATGTTGGATTCTGTTTTCTGAACTCTATGTTTGCATGACGTGCTTCTCCATACACATGCCTAGTGAGGGCACTGTGGCCGCCCCCATTCACTTTTGATGCATTCTAAAAATACACATCCTAAACATGCAGTTTTTACACGTTCAGAAAATACGTGCTCAGTGTGTCCTAAGCCTAAGACTGGCAGTAGTAATAAATAATTTAATGATAGTAATACTAGTATCTGTACCAGTTATGCGTTACATATATTTTTGCTTGTTATACTTTCTTCTTATACCTTAACTCTAAATACTGCTCGTGTAATTTCTCCTCCATGTCCTTCAGTATGTTGAATTATTTTGTGATATGGAAGAAGAAAGTAGCAGCAGAACATTTTAATTTAATTAGTGTTTGGTGAGTACTAAAATGGCTTTTGTGTGTTTAAAATTAATTTTGCAGAGATCTGAGCATGAACTCCCTGACTCTGATTCCCACGAGTGGACTGAGTTCACTGAGTCAACTCAAACTGTCCGGAAATCCACAGATGAAAAATGTGCTGCCTGCAAAAACACTGCCCAAACTCAGGTGAGGGACAAGTGCTACTTTTATGTAATTTATCCATACATTTATGTCAGATAAAAGCTTAATATTAGTCACTGGGCTGTAAGGATGTTATGCAGGGACCAAATGCAGCTTCATGATTATTGGTGAATTGGTCCAAATTACCATAAGCAGTACATTTTTACATTTTACTGTAGATTCAAGACCTCTACCTGAATCCATTATCAAACATTTGTGTTTGTACCTATTTTATTTATTCACTGCACAAACAACCAGCCCATGGTGCACAATCAGCCAGCTGCTTTGTCTGTGTTTCAATATGATGAAAAATGTTTGGATACCACACCCCTGATGTAACGTAACAGTGTCCAAATCTCACTGTATGGTCACACGCTTGCCTCACAGCATCAGAACTGTTCCAAGATTCGTATATTTCAAGAGATTTTGTATTATTTTTTGATATATTGCTACATCCACTACTACATTCCTTCTTTATTGTATAATCCATGTAAATTTGTGTAAATCTTTGTAACGTCTTTTAACTTAGGACCACCACCTGTTTTAATGAGAAATACAGGTTAATGACTTCAGCTAAATCCAACAGCGGAAACATTAAAATGAATAAATGTCTGTGGCAAACTCATTATTTTTATGTTTTCCTGATGTTGGAGTTTTGGGACACTCTGGAGTACAGCAGTATGTGAAGACTCTGTTGAATAATTACTGTATTTTTTGTAGGTCCATCTCTGTGCCCTATGCCTACCAGTGCTGTGCTTTTGTCGGATGTGATCAGACAAGTTTAGAGGAAAACGATGCAAAGAAACCAGGTGGGAAAGTCCAACACTCTAATTATTATTTGTAGATAAGATAGATAAGATAACCTTTATATGTAACAAAATGGGGAAATTCCACTAGGGCTGGATAATTAACAGAATTTTAATCATGAGTGAGATTAAGTAATTTCTAATCTTCAATGAATGTCAGTGAAATCATGTGGTTTGCAGCAGAGTTCAGACTTTGGAGGAACAAATTAGACAATTTTTTGTGTTAAGTAGCATTGATTACTGGTCTGCCTTGTTTACTTCTAGGAAATTAAAATTGAAAGCCAAAGTGTTGTGTTAAATACGTAAAATTTGATTTAAAGCATCTAAATCAATCAATATGAGAAAAAAAAAAAAAACATAAAAGGTACAACAACTAAGTAACATGCCCCCATCTAAATGATCCATTGATGATTATGTTTCAAGAAAAGTTTGGAGTTTGGGTTTAGTTCAATATTTTCATTTTCTTTGGAGGCATTTTATGATTCCTCTGTTGTTTGTGTATTGTGGTTCATTCATTGTCTATTGTATGATATGTATTAAGCTCTAAATAAACTAAATACTTGATTGTAGGTGGAGAAGAAGTAGAAAGGATCTCGATGTTGATGCATTGCTCCCCTTCACCGGGTAAACATTTTAAGTGTAACATTATTCATGTTTAATATTTAGATCATTTTCAACACAATTTTGTACATTTCAGGCGCCTTTAAACCCTGTGAGCACTTGTTGGGGAACTGGATGATTCGTCTGACCGTGTGGTTCATTTGTCTGGTGGCTCTGGTCTTCAACAGTTTGGTTCTTGTTGCCACATTTGGACCCACTCATCGAACAGCCCGACAGCCCTACTCTCTGGCCCCCAGCCTGCCCCCTGCCAGGCTGCTAATGGGGCTGTTGGCGCTAGCAAACCTCCTCACAGGACTCTATGTGGGCATCCTGACTGCTCTGGACCTGGCCACATGGGGCTCGTTCGCTTCGTTTGGGGTGTGGTGGGAGATGGGCCCTGGCTGTCAGATCACAGGGGTGCTGGCGGTCTTCTCCTCCGAGTGGTCCATTCTGTTGCTGGCATTGGCTGCGGTGGAGCGGAGTGCATCTGTGCGCGTGATCCTAGGAAAGGTCATGCTGTCCCCTCGTAGGAGCAGCTCTCATGGGGGTTGCTGGAGAGGGGGGCGGCGCTTCAGTCTGGCCGCTGGGGTCCTGGCTCTGCTGGCTGCAGCTGGAGCCTGCCTGCCCCTCCTCACCTCCAGTGACCAGGCCTCGCCCCTGTGCCTGCCCTTCGCAGGGGTCGACAGTCCGGCTCTGAGTGTTACTGTGGTGCTGGTGCTGCTCAATGCTCTGGCGTACCTGTTCACTGCTGCAGTTTACACACAGCTCTACTGCCACCTGGGCCGAGTGGAGCTGGCTGACCCGGAGCAGTCTGGGGCTCTGCGGCACGTGGCCTGGCTCATCTTCACCAACTGTATCTTCTTCTGCCCTGTCGCTGCCTTCTCCTTCGCCCCTCTCCTCACGGGGTCCGCTGGGGGTCCGGAGATCGCCAAGTCTGTCACACTGATCTTCTTCCCTCTGCCCGCCTGTTTGAACCCTGTGCTGTACGTGTTTTTCAGCCCGGCCTTCAGGGAGGACTGGACTCGTCTGCGTGGCCTCAGAGGGTCATCCCGAGAGGTCAAAGGTGAGGGTCAATGTGACGATGGGGGCGGGAGCTCAGAGCTGACGGACAGAGGCTCTTCTACACTAGGCTCAGAGTGTGGGCTGTACTCTCAGCTCTGTGCAGAGGTGTGTGAGCGTTGTGAGGCGGCTCTACACGCCCGGACCTGCCCCTCCAGCGCCTCTGTGTGCAGACATTTGGTGAAGGCGCACAGCTGTCCCACCCTCTCGGGGGCACCGTTGTGCCCGCGCACAGAGGGCTTTTGGGCAGATAGCGGAACGCCTCTCGCCCAGTCGGAGTATGCAGACGAGGGCGACTCTTTTGTGTCGGACAGTTCAGATCAGGTGCAGGCTTGTGGCAGGGCCTGCTTCTGTCAGAGCAGAGGACTGCCACTGGTACACTACTCATACAACATACCTCGAGTCAAGGACTGACAGGTCCTGCACTATCACAACAGAGACGCTTCAACTCAATGTGCCAACTACCATTTAAAAAGACTACAAAAGCACTTAGGTATGTACTTACTGTGTAAACAGAAATGCAACCATTTATTTAAAGGGATCTCAAAGAGTAGCGCTACTAAGGACATGTTTTTACTCTAACTGAGCACATCACGTTACAGACTTAAACAGCAGTGAATCTGTTGCCACAGTGCCTGCCTTTGGATCTCATGTTGTCAGACTCAGTTTTTGTTATAAGCTTTTAAATTGTTTTATTTGTATGCTTCTTGTTGATTCCTAAGCAACTTCACCCCAAATTTATTTTTATTTGGATGTATGATTTTTATAAGTGAAATGTAGCACATGTATCATATTTCTAGGTCTGAGTGTGAATGTAAAAGAGGTGGTCTCTTTCGCCCTTCGGTTGAGGACACTGTAACTTCAGCAATAACTTGTGTATGTCTGTGATGTTAATCAGCACAAGAATGATTTAGCTCCACGCCCTGGTCCATGAATAAACACCTCTGGTTTGGTGTAACCAAGACTAAGAATGTGATTAAAGTAGCAGATTTCACTGTTTGGACACAGCTCCCATGCTCCATGCTCCACAGGACATTATTTATTGTTGGAGCAGCAGGATAGCCTGAGAGTATTCAGCTGTGGAAATGGCCTTTACATTACAACTCTAATACACCATAATTCAAAGGATTTACAAAGTAGAAACAATGTTTAAAAATATTACATGCAAAACAAATTATATCAGGTTAGATCAAGAATTACATAATCAGAAATGTTAAAATAAAAAGTTAAGACTATTTTCCAGTGTGCACAGAAACAGGAATTTATATGAGAGTCATCCCAGTTTTCCTGGTTTTCTGATGGATATGCATCAGACAGGCAGCTGAGTCAACATGAAACAGACCAGATATTTTATAATGAACTTTAATAACCAAAATGTCAATCTTCAGTCATAGATCAATGTACACCCAATATTAGGAAAGTATTACAGTGAATGATGCAACAGTCTGAAGATCCACTATCAAAACAATTTGATCAGATGTAATTGGAAATGTTCCCTTTGATTGGGCCTGGCTGCAGGTTTAATGCAGAGAGTGGGGCTGCAGTGCATCAGGGTTTGGCTGGTGTTTGTAGAGCATGACTGTACACATAAAGGTGGGTCCGCCCTTTCAGCATGTATCCACAAGTGCATGTCATGTGAGCGCTCAGGAATTTAGGCAATGTTCATTTATAGTTCGTTCAATTCAAACTTTTTATAATCTGTTTAGGCGTTGCATTTTGTCCTGTTTTTCTGTTGATTCCAAATGTGTGTGTGTGATGGTAAAATGATGAGTGCTTGTAAATCTGACAGAATAAATGTAATCAAGAATGGGACGCTACATTAAGGAAGCTACCTCCATAAATGCATAGGCTGCGCTTTGTTTCATGGCTATTTGCTTTATGTTGATACATGTGTTTGTACCATATTGTTTGATTCAAATGTGGGAGGTTGTGTACTGTATACTGTGATTATTTTGTTAGCCAAAAAATAAACTATGAATTATTATTTTGTCTTTTATAGATGGGATGAAAGTATAAAAAAATGTTTCACAGAAATTCAGTCTAAATTAATGTTTTTAGTTATGTTATCCTTTTTGACAGAGATCCCCAGGTTTTTTGTTCTAGTAAAATAATTTGTTCTAATTGTGAATAAAATAATTTGCATAAATTGTGTATTTTAATATGTACCTTTGTGGTACTCCATTGACCTATGTGTAAAAACACTGGTTGGTTTTGAAAGGACCACACAGAGCAGCTTCTGCACTGAGATGTTACTACTCCACTTACTATTCCACAGTATAGCATTAAATCAGAAATACCTAATGCCATGCTGTGGAACATTTTAGGCAAAGTATTTCTCGAATCATTAGAAAAGTTAGAACATGCACTTATATGTTCAAAGTTCTCGCCAAACTTTTAATGGCATCACTTGGACGCAATATACAGGCAAATCAGTGGCTATTATGTTATTATTATGCTGTGCTATTTGTACAACCTCCTTCCTGTGTGGACTAATGACTTACAGTAGTTTATGACTCATGACATTCACTGCAGCCAGATTCAATGTAGTATTTAGGGTATTTTAAAGGATAATTGTTCCTGAAGTTAAAAGAATATAAAATAAATGTTCTGTGCACAACTTCAAATACATTCAGAAATATACAGATTGGTGTGTTAGAGTTCACATTATATAACATGCTACTTAAGAATATAATAACTTTAAATCGACCGGAACTCCTCAAAACCTGACCAACACTTTTCTAGAACGCTGCGATTCCAGACTGTGCCACTGCTGTTTCCATGGTGACCTGCCCGAGAGAGTGAGAGAGAGAGTGAGAGACCTGAACAGAGAAAGTCCTCACCCCAGGCCCTGCTGGAGTTCATTGAGGAACATCAGATAGAGGTCCAGGCGGAGACCACAGTGGTGTTTTTGACAGAGTCAAAGCTGGGAGATGTGGAGGTGACTATGTCTGGAGCCACGAAAGGAGGAGGCTTTAGACAGAGCTACATGTCTGGTTGTTGAAGAAGTTGAAGGACCAGATGAGAACTACCTGGACAGGTCCAGGTCCAGGTCCAAGTCTAAAACCCAACAACATATTTGGCAAAAACCCTGAACAGAGAAAGTCCTCACTCCATGCCCTGTTGGAGTTCACTGAGGAACATCAGATGGAGGAGTGAAAGCAGGAGATGTGGAGATCACTATGTCTGGAACTACCAAAGAGGAGGCTGTAGACAGAGCTACATGTCTGGCTCTGAAGAGGTTGAAGGACCAGATGAGAACCACCAAGACAGGTATAGAGCTGGAGGAGAAGGAAGACGAGAAGGAGGAGGAGGAGCAAACAGGGTCAGATTTACTTTGTTTACTGACTAGAATACCATGCAAATATACCATTAGCCTGACCTACTGTCTTTAAATATGATGTAAATATGCAGAGTAACAATAAATGTAGCCTAAACAAACATAATTTAAAATCCAGCAGAGTCAGACCTAAGTTTTATAATCAATTGAAGATTTACAGTGAATTTTTACATCACTAAATATATCGGCTTTTATATTGACTATCAGCAGCTCTAACTCCCATTTTATCTGTATCATATCGGCAGTAAAAAAAAAAAAAAAAAAAAGGATGCCCATGGATCTATTAAAATAACCTAGTTTAGGCCCTAGTTTAATCGTGGTTTAGTCCTGGTTCAGTCCGTGGGGATCTCTCCATCTCGATCGATGTTTCTTCTGCTCAATAATCCCTGTGAAGTGATGACGTATTTTTGACAGGTGAATCGCATTTGTGAATTTGTCTTAGTAATGAAGAAAGCGTACCCATTTCATTTTTTTTCGTGGTTGTAATTCTTGATGTCATAACTTTTCAATTTGTATTCTGCTGGATAAAATACACACAATACATTTCATGTACGACTGGACTCATTCGACAGTTTACCAATACTTATTTTATGATCAACTACAGCCAAATATGCATGGATTTCTATCCTATGCACACAAATATTTCTGAAAGCTTTCGTACCTCATACTATTGCCTATTCAAACTGCCTATTTAATCCACATTTAGCATTGTCATTGGTGAGAGGCGCATCAAAAAAACATAAAGTGCTTCAGTTAGGATGCTTTTAATTTGTGTGTGATTTATCAGGGGCACAGGCAGGTAACAGGTGGAATGTTAACGGGTCTGGGTGGGCACAGATTTAACTTTGATAATAATCACGGGTTAATGGGCCAGTGTGATGCTGTACTACACAGGTGCGGGCGGGTGCGGGTCTCCAAAAACGAACCCATGCAGGACTCTGCTTTACACTGAAACATGGAGGCCCCCGTCTCTGTAACTGCAAAAAGGTTTAGCCAAAATTTAAGATATAAACACTTAAACGAGGGTCTTTTGATTGGCAGTAAATCTGTTCTGTTAAATGTCAACTTTTTTCAAATACTTTTTTTTATTTGCATAAATGCATTGCTATGAAGGAAGGAGGCAGGAACTCTATTGCTTGTAGATCCTCCGTTTCTTTGCCTTGGTGGACCATTTAGTAATAGAGCAGATGTCTGGTAAGAACTCCTCCTCCTCTTCTGGTAGGACTTCTAGCTCCAACTTCAGATCGTTTTTGACCTTAATGACATCGACATCTGGGGTGCAGGATTCATCTGCATTGCCAGCTGTAGATATCAGGTCTCCAGGTTGGGCCATTTGCAGTTCAGTGTTTTTGAGTTGGGGTTTTTATCAACTCAATAATCGTCTCAACATTACTCTCAAGCACATGGGGCTGAGGCTCTAACTCTGTCACAGAAGGATTGGCACATTCTGGCAGAGTCCACATTCCAAACAGCTCGTGTTCTATAGCCTCCACTCTTTTTTTGTTTCTGCCCTTACTGTTCTTCTTCCTTTCCTTTCTGGAAACTATGAGACCCTCACTTACAGCAGTGAGTTTAGGCTCTGACAATTCAATATCAGGGTTCTCAGTTTTAGCCAACAATGTCAGGGGCTCTGAAACGATAGGCGACTGGGTCTCTGTTTCTGGGTGGTCTGGAGGATTGACAAGTTCATAAACCAGTGTCTCCTCATTGCCGGACAGGTTCCATGTGTGTTTGGACCTCACTGTCTTTGAGGTCCAAACCCTCACAGGGGGAATCTGCCACAGACTCTTCATTTGTAACTGCTCTGACCTCTGTCACTGCTACCTCAGCCTCTTCCATTATGGCTGCTGTGCAGCCTTCAGGAACAGAGTCATTGAGTTTAGCCTCATATATATATGTGTTGTTTTTCTTCCTCTCCTTTTTGCCTCATCTGAACGAAACAGTTTGAGTCATGTGTTCAGTAGATTGAGGGTTGTAGTCCAGTTCCTTTTATACTTTTGTGGGAATTTTGGGGGGATTTGCTAACCTATATAGTTTTTGGAAAGGTTATAGTATATGGAGTCAGAAAATCAATGTTTGCATTTGCCCAGATGTCTTTATGGCGGCCATATTGATTTTTTTTTTAAATGGCCGCCAAAAAACTCTTTTTGGAATATCTCAGCCTCTGAATAAGTTGAAATGTTGATTTTAACTGCTAAACCCACATTTTCAGGGTCAGGGAATCAAATGGGGCTAGTTAGAAAGCTGTAAGACCTACCCACATTAACCCTTAGATGTATAAGTGGGTCAAAAATGCCCCGATTTGGTTGTTTTCTTGCAATTTCATTGTAATATTTGCATGTAATACTACATGTTCCTCCAAAAAACATGTTTTTTTTAATTATCCTGTTGAAATACTTCAACAATATGGGTAAAACAAACTATAAACATCACATGCAGTTGGTCAGATAACTCAAAGAGTTTAAAAGTAGCTAACATAAAATGTGTATGTTGGATGTCAACATACACATTTAGACACAATATGATTACACAACCTTTTTATTAGAGATTTTCTATACATCATCATTATCATCATCACTTTCATACAACCATAGACTGTATATATGAGTGGACAGATCTAACGCTGGAGCCGCCGTGTGCCAAATAGGAAGTTCTCCAGGAGGCTCTTCCAGCTCCTTCTGACTCTGGCTCCAATGGAGGATCTTGTGGCTCCTCTCTCTGTACCTGCTGCTGTGAACCTCGACATTTTGGTCTTAAAATGTTTATATGAACCCGCTCTACATGATCCTGAATTTTTTTATTTTTTTTTTTATTTTTTGCTAGTTTGTCCATCAAAAAAATCCTATTCATAATATAGTGTATGGCTCCAGAACAGTGAACATCTCAAGCTTCATTTGAGCAGCGCTGAACTCTGTGGGTCACACTCATTTAGTCCACTTCTTTTATACAGTCTATGCAACAACACGGCTTGGGAATCATCATCATTCTGGCACTGGCTGCTGCACTGACACATGTCGGTACAGGCTAAATCTTTAGTTTCTGGTGTGCAGTTCTACAGTCACCTTTGTATTTGGCAGTGGTGAACCGTGGACCTGGACCCTGGGCCTTCACTAGGACCAATTTCTGGCCATCATGACATGAATTATTTAAAGAAAACTAAATGAAGCAAATTGCACATGTACTTATTTCATATATTTGTTTAATAAACATTAGCTACTGTTCAACAAGATGGACAGATCCACGGCCATCTGGGCTACGAGTTCCATGGTCTCCGAGTTCTGCCGGCTCTGAGCTCTGGCCTGGCCATGGGCTCCAAGCTCCGGTTCCTGGGTCGTCCAAAAAGGGGTGTCCTGCTCATTTTTTGATGCTGCGGTCTTGCTTATATTTGCTATCACAGGGTATTCGCAAAGGCCCTGAAGATGTTGTGATATGATCCGACCATATATATACACCCATAGTGTTCAGCGCCGCTCAAATGAGGCTCATGATGTTCACGGTTACAGGCAAGGCAAGGCAAGGCAAGTTTATTTGTATAGCACAATTCGTACACAAAGTAATTCAAAGTGCTTTACAGAATAAGAAATACATTAAAATCATAATAAAAACAAATCAAAACATAAATAATCATGAAGATTAAACAGGAGTGAATATGGAGCCAGGCTTTATATTATTCCATTCCATTCCATTCCATTTCTTCCACTTATCTGGGGCCAGGTCACGGAGGCAGCAGTCCCCTCTTCACACACACTTCCAACTCCTCCAGGGGGACCCCGAGGCGTTCCCAGGCCAGCCGAGAGACATAGTCCCTCCAGCGTGTCCTGGGTCTTCCCCAGGGCCTCCTCCCGGTGGGACATGCCCGGACCACCTCTCCAGGGAGGCGTCCAGGAGGCATCCGGAACAGATGCCTGTGCCACCTCATCTGGCTCCTCTCAACGTGGAGGAGCAGTTCTACTCCGAGCTCCTCCTGTGTGACTGAGCTCCTCACCCTATCTCTAAGGGAGCGCCCAGACACCCTGCGAAGGAAACTCATTTCAAGTGCTTGTATCCACGATCTCGTCCTTTTGGTCATTACCCAGAGCTCATGACCATAGGTGAACATAGATTGACCGGTAAATGGAGAGCTTTGCCTTTCCACTCAGCTTGCTCTTCATCACAACGGTCCGATACAGCGACCGCATCACTGGAGATACTGCACCGATCCACCTGTCAATCTCATGCTCCATCCTCCCCTCACTCATGAACAAGACCCCGAGATACTTGAACTCCTCCACTTGAGGCAAGGACTCTCCACCCACCCGGAGACGACAAGACGCCTTTTTCCGGTCGAGAACCACGACCTCGGATTTGGAGGAGCTGATCTTCATCCCAGCTGCTTCACACATGGGTCAAATCGCCCCAGTGCTGCAGGACCTGGTTTGATGCAGCCAACAGGACAACATCATCTGCAAACAGCAGAGATGATCCTGTGGTCCTCAAACCAGACCCCCTCCAGCCCCTGACTGCGCCTAGAAATTCTGTCCATAAATACAATGAACAGAACCGGTGACAAAGGGCAGCCCTGGGGAGTCCAACATGCACCGAGAACAGGTCTGATTTACTGCTGGCAATGAACACAGCTCCTGCTGAGGTCATACAGTGACCGAACAGCCCTTAGCAAAGGTCCCCGAACCACAGACTCCCAGAGCACCCCCCACAGGACACCACAAGTGACACGGTCGAATGCCTTCTCCAGATCCACAAAGTACATGTGGACTGTTTGGGCAAACTCCCATGAACCCTTGAGCACCCGATGGAGAGTGTAGAGCTGGTCCAGTGTTCCACGACCGGGATGAAAACCACGGTCAGATTCTCCTCTCCAGTACCCTGGCATAGACCTTACCGGGGAGGCTGAGGAGTGTGATTCCCCTGTAGTTGGAACACACCCTCCGGTCCCCCTTCTTATACAGAGGGACCACCACCCCTGTCTGCCAGTCCAGAGGTACTGTCCCCGACCGCCATGCGATGTTGAAGAGGCGTGTCAGCCAAGACCCACAACATCCAGAGACTTGAAATACTCAGTACGGATGTCATCCAGCCACGGGCTTTATATTATGAATAGGATTTTTATGACAGACAAAATAGCAAAAAAAAATTTAAAAATTAGGATCATGTAGAGTGGGTTCATACAGACATTTTAAGACCAAAATGTCGAGGTTAACAGCAGCAGGTACAGAGAGAGGAGCCACAAGATCCTAAAGAGAGGCTCAGTCTGTTGATGAGCATTGGAAAGTAACTTTTCCAAAGCTCTGACTTTAATCATCAGATCCTCCTCTCTCTCCACTTTTTTCTCCTCCAGCCACTGTCACACTGCCTCTGGAGCCTCACAGAGGGCACAGATCAGTTCCAGTGTTGTGGACATGATGCCTTTTGTCAAAGGAAATGCTTCACATAGAAGATGAGGAGTTTGCTGGAGCAGTTAGTAGTATGTGTTGTTGTAGTATATTGTTTCACAAAGCACTACAAATCATATTAAAAGCTGTTATATTGATCATATAAAATGTCTGATAGCTCTGATAGCTCAATGTGAACAAGGTTTTTTTAAGTGTTGATAAACTGTTAAGACAAGAGTGAGCCATGAAAAGTGTCTGTGAGACCCTGGTTGCTGCTACACAAAAATTGATAATCAACTTGGCTATATTGGTCACTGAGATTTTTTGTTTTATTTTATTATTATTATTATTTTTTATTATGTCAGAAATGTTTATTTGTAAATTTTGAGTTATTTACTATTCTGACAAATGAAAAATATATGAGAATGGAACATTCTTCTTAGTTTTGTAATAATTCTGCACATTAATAGTTTCCCAAAGCCAAAACGTCACTTTCACTCTCTTATATATTCAAGTTTGAGGTTTATTAACATTTTGTATTGACTGAGAGCACTGTAGTTGTTCAATTATAAACTTAATTCTCATAAATACAACATGCACAGTGTAGAGTGAAAAATAGCCTCCTTGGACTGCATTAAGACACACTGTGAAACTTGATGAGGCGGTGAACCCTGTAGCCTTGTGTATTTTAACTGTAGTCTGTGTCAAAACACCTGTAAACATAGACACACAGTGACACGGGGGCTATGTGTGTTATTAGCAGAGGTCTGACATGTCCAAGGCCCATGCAAAGATCCTTTGCAGCTGCATGTAGAGTGCCTATGGGAAATATTTACATGTGTGGATCAAAGGGGGCAGTGTTGAGTGATGGTGGAGCTTCTGCTTTTAAAAACGCGCCATGTGGTTCTCCTCTGAGCTATTTAGACCCCTGTCCACACATCACACATTCCTCACACATAGGGCTCTGTTCAGGCTTTGCTCAATAAAACTAAAGCCCTCCAGAACTCCTCTGGACTTCTGAGGATCAAGAATATGCAGTTAGATGCCTGTGTCTACCCTGATTTAGTAACATAAGAGATATACTGCACAAAAATCGCATTTTAGCCCCATTTTATTGTTTGTAAAGCAAATCTGAGTGTCCAAAAAGAGCCATATAAGTCTTATGTATTATTATTAAAAACTAATTTAATGCTCAGAGGTAATTGTATAAAAATATAAATATATTACTTGCCCAAAATACATATAAAAAATGGAAAAAAAAAAAAAATTAAGTGGAGTTTTAGTACTTTTTCACTTTTAACTTTTCCGATTTACCTTCTTATTTTCATGTTAAACTAATCTCATCTTATGATCCTATTACTAAAAATACCTATAAAAAACTATGCATTTGTATAGTCAGCATACTCACCTTTCGATATCTGACCTGACCTGCTTGTTTCCATTGATATAGATAAGTTAAATGCAATACCGGTTGTTTTAAAAAGCAAATACATGGCATGCTTCACTATTAAATGCTACTGAACATTAGGAAAACCACAGACATAACTTTTTGTGTTGGAGAGATGATATCCCCATTTATTACACATGAATGAAGACAGAGTCAATTTGATATGTTATAACATTTTACATAGCTTCATACTGTTAAATTAATGACAAATTGTCCAGAGGGGAAGAGCCTGTGATTGTGAATTATGATAATTTACACAAAAATATGACTGAATATTGCACGCATCTCACAAAACACAAAAGACATACATTTTGGCAAGAGCTAATCACAGATGAACAATAAACATGGAGTCCACAGTGACAGCATGCAGGGGGGCCTCAGGCTGCAGTTTCTTTTTTCTTAGCGTCCTCTTTGGCGATTTGAGCTGTAAAAAGTCAATAATGAATGGTCAATTTTACATAAAACAACAATATTTTTTATCTATTTATATTGCTATTGAACTGATCTATTTTTCACCTTCACTACTTTGCTTTATACAGACCTTTTTAATAGGCACACTATGTAATTTTTCTGCTGGAAAATCTGCCATCTGCTTGTTTTCACAGAAATGTTATTGCTTTGCCAGGAATCACTCAGTTTGGCATCAAAGTTTGCAATTATTCAATTACAGTTTTTCATTACTCAAAATACCTTGTAAACTCTTAACAAATCTGATCGGTAACCTGGCCTAGTGTCATCACCTACTTGCCACCAAAAAGTTAATGTACATTTAAGATGAAGCTAAAACTAACATACATCACTAAAGAAGTGGATTAAGGCAGTGTGATGTCACCCATAGCAATTCACCAACAGGAATTTATTTACAGACAAAATAGTGAAATAAATACACCAGGATCATGTAGAGTGGGTTAATATGAACATTTTAAGACCAAAATGCAAGGCTCACTGCAGGTCCAGAGAGAGCGGTGATAATTTTTCAGTGTAAAATCAATTGGATCTAGAGTCAATGGAGCACACCTATTATCACTTCCTATTTGGAACGTGACGGCTAGTAGGTTAGATATGTCCATTTATATAGTATATAGTCTATGGTGTGTTTGCTTTACTTACAGCGCACTTCCAATTTGCACTCCACTATGTCCTCCCCACACTCATTGACTGCTTTGCACATGTAAACTCCTCCGTCAAAGGGGCAGGGCTTTCGGATCTCCAGGGTCAGGATGCCTTGTTTACAGAGCATCCTGTATTTGGCCTCATTTGAGATGTCCATCTTGTTCTTGTACCAGGTGACTTTAGGCTGAGGGAGGATACACACGTCAGAGATAACAGGCCTAACCTAAAGCAATATCTTTTGGTATTTACAATCCTTCCTGCCTTGGTTTGAGGACTTTATTATGCTATGTGTTGATGGGAGAATAGACAGTTGATTTACTAGTTAAGTGGTGACAACATTTAAACTTGTTATGTAGCTGTAAAACATAGGAATCCCTTTAACTTTATGATACATGTTACAATTTTGCACTATGTCAATAGTGAAAAACATCTCAATTATACAACTACTTTACTACGACAATAAAGTAATGGGTGAGGTGACGTTATCTGGAAACAAATAATTCCAGATAACATCACCACACTCAATACTACTCAATACAAAAATAATAACTAACTTGACTAACTGGCTGGTCAGATACTAGAGCAATAGTAATACATTAGACAATAAGTGTGAATTAAAGATTTCACTTTTGCTTTGTTCAATAACCATGAACAAATGCTAGATCTGGACCAATTTCTTATTGTCTTTTGTGACATCCTTGCTCCAGGCCTATTCTGTTAATTGTAATGAGGACATATTGAGAGCATTACCTTAATTGCTCATATAAATCACTCTATTGAGTGAAAACATAATTAGATTAACAGGACAGGTGTATTAGCAGCAGTATATAACCCACCTTTGGTATGCCCCTCACTGCACAGCTGAGCGTGGCGTTGTATCCTGCAATAACGGAGCGATTCACCAAAGGATGAGTGAACTTCGGGGCCTCTGTGAAGTCATGATCCTTGTAGTTGGGCGGCTTGTACTCAATACCTGAGGAGAGAGAGGGTAAGGTTCAAGATGAGATTAACTAATTAAAGTGGAACTAAACACCTGAACAGCACTACTGCAATCCAAATGAGCTGTTTAACAGAGCAGTGCCAGAAGGACTAAACGTTTTTTTTTTAGGAGTAAGGGACGGAAGGAGAAATAGCAAATAATAATAATAATAATAATAATAATAGTGATAAAGTGACCCTCTCACAACATCAGAGGTGTGAGATGTCACAGGCCTCTTAAAATGCAATGGCTGAGTTTGACCATAGTTGACTTTAAAAGTTTAGAATAAATGATTTCCAACCTGTTTTCTGGATATAAACGCTGTCCTTTGTGTTGCACGGTTCAAGGCTCAGGCCCACGAGGTTGGCAGCATAGACACGAAAGATGTATTCATTTCCCATAATCAGGTCTGACGCTACACAGTGAGTCCGTCTGTACTGTTCATACACAGTGAACCACTCCTGATGAAAAGAATAGACCATTTTAATGTGCAATGTAATGTAAAACCTTCATATATATTTATTTTGTATATTTATTCATATATTCATAGGATCTAGTTGACTGCACAAAGAAGGGAGGTCAGATACTTACTTTACACTAAATCAAAGGCTACTACACAGCAGCATCTATTTACTGTTAATATGCATAAAATATATTGCTGTTATATGTATGCATTAAATGTATAGGCACTGGTACTGTCAGTCAAGACAACAGTAATAGAACATTTTAAAAAATCTGAAATGATCAGTTCCTATATATAGTTTAAGAGCATTCTAAAACGATTAACAAAAGTTCCCATTGTGTCTTATTTATATGAACTCTTTTCTATATCAATCCTTGCTCAAAAGTCTGAATCTAGTTTTTATATTAGTTTTAATATGTTTATATAGATATGACAAAAGCAGTCCTCAGTAGCTCATTGTTGTAGATATGTCTTTCAAGTCTTCTTTTCCATTATGAGACCAAAGGGAAAAGGCTTGTCATGACAGCTGAAGTAAACGCAGAAAAGATGTGACAGATGGACAGGTATCTACACACTGAGGCATCTCCTTTTTAATTGGTAACTTGATCATGTTTTTGTGTGAATGAAATTAATGAGCTCTAATGAACAGCCCAGTGGAACATGAGAAGGAGTCGTGCAGAGCGGAGGAACAATGGCGGACGTCAAAGTGCACTAAGTCGGGACGGGCCAAGGCCCAGGATAAGATTAGCACATTCTTGGCAGCTTGAGGTGCTGCATAGTGGAGCTGTGCCTGTGTCACTGCTGCACATGTGATTAAAGTACACAGTCACATGTATGGAAAATTGTACTACTTTTGCATTTGCATTTAAATTTGTATTTTTGAACAGACATTTTATCTCTTTAAATTACTTGGTCTTGATGAACAAATGTAGCTCTGTCATGTGTTTCTCTTGCATGACTGAATGACAAATAAAGAACTTTGAACCTTGATTTTAAAGGTGCTCTATGTAACTTTTTCTGCTTTGCTTAGAATGTTCCACAGTATGGCATTAAATGTATCTATCTCTATGGAGACAAGCAAGTGGTGCCACCAAGTCTAGTTACAGGTCAGATCTTTGGAAACTTTTTCACTTTGGCAATTTCACTTTACATTGCACTTAATGAGGTAAAAACAAGAATAGTGTAAATACTCAAAGAAAGTGATTTGTGTTCTTTATTTATGCGATTTCAAAACTTTTATAATCTATTACTCATACTTGACCATTTATTATAAGCCCTCACAAAAGTTAATATTGCATTCTCATTACCGTACCATTGTCTTTTTGTCTGCTTTCTGAATGGTGTAGCCAGTTATTTCACAGTTGCCGTTATCTTTCGGCGGCTTCCACTCCAGAGCAGCATTAAAACCCCAGACATCCACAATCTTCACGGCTTCAGGAGGTCCAGGGAGGTCTATAAAGAAGACAGAATATTTCATTTTCTCAAATAAATAGCTTAAACTGTGTATATTATATAAAAGCAAGGTTTCATACCCACAATCTGTAGCGTGACTGAGGCTTTATCCTCCACATTTTCAATCTGCACGTGGAGTTCATATTTGCCTGAGTGTTTCATCTCTGTGTGACGAATGAAGAAGATGGTGTCTGTGTCACTGTTTCTGACATTGGCCATTGACGAAGTCAACGGCTCTCCATCTTTTGTCCATGTAACCACTGGCCTGGGTTTGCCCTGTATCACATGTAATATGCTTTACAATTCAAATGAAAAATGAAAAACAAAAAGACACTGAGTGACATCAGTTGCACACATCTGCTGTGATGTCACTCAGTAATTCTTTGAAAATTCAGCCTCCTTTCCTGAAGTTTGAACACTCTGACCACATTTTAAGGGGTGAGTTGTATTGCATAGTGAGTTATATTTCAAATTGTTGGAGCGAGAAGCTAGCATGGCAATGACAGTATGCACTCATCTAGTTGCTAGGTGATCCTGAACTGTAGCAAATGATTGTCATGATCTTCATTTAATAGGAACCTTGACCAGTAAAGTGTGTTGTTTTACTTTGTTTTTACTTCACCTGAAACGGTATCACAAGATTGACACATTCTCCAACTTTCTTGATTAGAGTCTGGCGGAGACTTCTAGGAAGCCAGATCTTTGGTCGCTCTACAAATACAGAAACACACATTATATGTGAAGAGAACCGTGGAGCTTATAAATGAGCCCAGTGTACTGACGCATTATCTCCCTGATGGTGACAGGTTGAGCCAGAGTGGCAGGGGCACTGGGACCTGCCATGTTGTATGCCCGCACTCGAAACTGCAGCTTGTCTCCAGTGGTTAGACCCCTGACGACGAGGGACGTCCTGTCTGTCAGATCCTCATTGGCTGGGACCCACTCATCAGCTGGAGCACAAACACATACAGAGACATATAGCTGAGCAAACATGGGGGAAGAGATGTGTGAGAGGATTTGTATTTTGTCCTGGATTTTATTAATTACTGTTATTGATGTATACTTTAAAGAGCCAGAAATCAGATTAACAGGGACAGTAGTTTAGTTAGTAGAGTGCTACTCTGACCTGAAGGTTGGTGGTTTCAATCCTGCTCCCATCAGTGAACACTGTTGATGTGTCATTTGGCAAAACACTTGGCCCAACTCACCTCAAGGATCTGTGTACACTGGTTTATGAATTTGTGTGCTAAAGAATAAGTGGTTCCTTTCTGTAAAGTGCTTTGAGTGAACTGAGTGTAGAAAAGCACTATGTAAATTTTAAATACAGACTCAAATTTGAATCTGCTAATTATTATTAGTACTAAAATGAGTGGACTGTTGTATTCATGGCTTGTCTTGATTTAAGTAAACCACTTTTCAGTCTCCAAAAGTAATTCTTGATGGAAAGCAGAGGTTGTCTGCAGCACTTACTGCCCTCCTTGCAGTACTCGACCCTGTACCCCTCCAGTTCAGCCGCTCCGATCCTCTCGGGCGGGCGCCACTTCAGAGTGATGGAGGTGTCATTGATATCATCCACAGTCAGGCCCACGGGCTCACTGGTCGGTGCTGCAAACATATTTCAATATGTGACCAAAATAAGAAAATCCTCAACTTGTTCTGAAACCATAAACTGTTTGAGTGGAGATTCCAAAGCCCTGGTCAGTTCAGCATCTAGAAACACACATTTTAAATCAAAATACTATTTAGTGTATTTCTTTTCCTTGTTAATGAATGACATCAGAAATTAATAATAATATAGTATATAATCCATTAAGAAAGAAAATGAAAACAGCAACATTCTTGTAAAATATAGTGCACATATTTAAAACTATGACTTGAATAAAAAAGCACAGATGAGGAATGCATTAATATGAATTGGGATGATACTAAAAGCATAAATGAACACAAATGATCATTTTGACATTGGGGCAAATGTCTCTGTGTTTTTTGTCTTGTCTTTAGCAGTGATCAACACTGAACCACCTTCTGCCTGTGTGGCCCTGACACCTTCTCCAGGTGCTGTGCCTATTCTCACACATGCACTGTGTTTGTTGTAGAGACAAAACTGTAGTTGCCCTTTGCAGCACTTCTCCTGCAATATTTATAGAGATGCCAGAGATACTTATCTAATCTGCCATCATACAATGCAATGGCCATTTGGACAAATCATGTTCCATTCATTATCACCAAGTGGATCTGAGGCCGCTAAAAGACTCACTGATACAGATGCAAGACAGACCTGTCCTGTTTTGTTTTTTTGTAGTAAATGCGTGCATATTTCTCAGGCAGCTTAATATAACATAACATACAGGTAATTATTTGTGGGCCATTTTACTTTCAGTTTATATCACATGCTAGCATACTTTTGTGCATTGTTGAGGTATAATATGATGTGACGGACACATTTCTATAGTGGATTGAATCCTTTTAGCTACACTTCTTAAATTAGAACGAACAATGACTTTGAGCCTGTTGTGTACTGCCCACTAGTCACTTAAACCCATGGCCTGCAGAAACCTACACTGTAAACACTACAGAGACCCCATCCATCTTTAAAAGACCTCAGAAACTGTATAATGTAAATGTGTCTCCTCTCCTAAGGTCTACTATTTTAAAAAGTATGGTACAAACTCACCCACAGGTACAAATGGTTGTGAGGCAGGGCTATGGCGGGACATGCCGATGCTATTGACAGCATACACTCTCATCTCATACATCACTCCTTCAATCATCCGCTTGGCCTCGTAGGTCGTGTCAGGGTAAGGGTCAAAGTTCAGTCGCATCCATCTGTAGCTCTTGGTCTTCTTTCTCTCCAACACATAACCTGTAAAAAACATGATCAGTTTCAGTGAAAAGACAGAATTTATGAAAACTTTCTAGTAGTCTGTAAAAAAAATGTTTTACCAATGACTGGCTGTCCGCCATCAAAAGCTGGGGGATCCCACTGAACAACACAAGAGTCTTCTCCAACACTAAGGATTCTGGGAGCCTGAGGTGGATCCGGTACATCTGTAAAAAAAAAGTTATCATTAGTTGAAAATACATAGGACAAACTACAGCATATACTAAAGTAAACCTATATTTACAACACCATATCAATTGTATGAAAATGTTATCTTATTTTTGCCGTACCAACGACTTTGACATGTACATCTGCTGTGTCCTCTCCTGCTGGGTTTCGGACCACCACAGAGTACATGCCCTCGTCCTGCCTCTCAGCTCCTTCAATGGTGAAGATGCAGTGGCCTTTGGTGGTCTCAACATGAACCCGGCCATCTTCCTCAGTTAGAACCTGAAACATATGAACATTTTTTGTCCCAGAATCCACTGCACACTATCTCTTATATGATTGGTCTAATAAAAACTATTAACACACTGAAACTGCACCAATTTACACCAGTTGTGATGTAAACATACTTAAAGGTCCTATATTAGACCAAATGGATTATTGTAAGATTTATGTCATGTTATAATCATGTTACTTCATTAAAAACATACCTGTTGTGTTTTGTTTCATTCACACGTTTGAATAATGCTTTTTTATTAATCTGTCTACATCTCCAAAGCTCAAAATGCTCTGTTCCAACTTGTGATAGTGTTTTCTGTTTGAGAGAAGAACTCAGTCTAAATATGCAGGTTTGTGTTAAACATGTGTGAATGAAAAAACAACTCCAGGTTTGTTTTTGATGAGGAAACAACATTAAAAGGCCCTTAAGTGAATCATGCTTTATAGAGAAGGGTAGGTAGGGTAGGCAGGTATATGCAGAATCACATGTCATGTTCCTACTCTCAACTCTCAACTAATATATTTATAATAACTACACTTCAGCCTTAATAATGAAAAAAATAGTTTATTAAGAATGATTCAGACTTAGCAACTACTTAATTGATCAACTAACCATAATCCCATGAACTGTTACTAAGCCTGAATCATTTTAACAAATCATTTTCAATAAATCGATCATTCAGTTACAGCCTTTCTTCATGCTTTACTAAGTAGTTATTGTTTTATAAGTGTTACCATATTTTTCTTTTGAAATTGTCAGACTAATTTAAGACTCACTACAAACATGATACTTACCTCATAGATTCCTTTACGAGCGAAGCAATCTCAGGACATGCTCCTACCTCTCACTGAGCAACATGCAGACACTATTTTGAGGTGTTTTTACTGTGTAAGACATGCATGAATCAGAGTCAAAATGCTGGAGTTTTTTCTATTTTTTAATCCTTATGTGTTACAGTGGCACAGTACTGAGAATAATACAATAGAGCTTTTTGATAAATACTTACAAGGTGCACTGAACAACTTTTCTGATGGAGGGTCTGCTATCTATGTGTCTCTGTGGTGATGTTATTGCTTTACCTGGAACGTTCCATGGTATGACATTAAAAATATCCATCTAGCATTTATTCCTTACAGGTGTTTCTGTTGCTCAAAAATACAATAATTCCTTCTGTGAATAGGGGCGAATCTCCACAGATCTGAACTGTAATGTAGCGTAGTGCTGTAACTTGCTTGTCTCCCTTGTGATAGACAGATTTGATCTAAACTGAGGAATATTCCACACAAAGCAATAACATTTCTATGGAGAAAAGCATGTGATGGACCATCCACTATAAATGTTATGCAGAGCACCTTTAAAACATTAAAATAACCCTACTATATAATCTAATAAATGCGTGAACAAGCCCTAATCAAGCAAGCGCTCATTTAAAAGGCCATGCACACTTACTTTCCCGTCCTGCACGATCCAAGAGGCGTTTTTCCCAGCTGTCTCTTCTCCATCAGGTTTTACAGAACTAGCCTACATTTGAGCAGAGCAAAGCAGCAGAAGCAACAGAGAGGAGGTCAACCCTCTCATCCAGCTAGCCACCCAGCAGTTAGTAGCATTGCACTGGCCAGCTCAAAACAGCCATGAATACATGCAGATAAACGCAGTGGCACGGATGGTAGAGCAGCCATCTTATAGGTTCGAATCCTGTACTAGTCAGTTCATTCTGCCCTTATGTTCTTGGGCAAGACACTTTACCCGGTTTCCTGTGTGAGTGTGTTGTGTGTGTGTGTGTTGTGTGTGTAAGATGAGTGGTGGTTGGACTGGCAGTTGGTGCAAAATGACAGCCACATCTCTATTAGTCATCCCCGAGGCAGGTGTGGCTACAGAAATAGTCAGTGAATGCTGAAGACTGAAAAGGTCATTATGGTTAGAGAACGTCACAAAAATTGTAACCATTTAGATAATCATACTAACTATAACTTAAAAGGGCTCTCTGTAATTTGTGTGGTTGAAGGTCAGCTAAGGTCAGCTACCTGTTTCTTCATGGAGATTTGATTGCATTTAGTGAAAAAAAACAACAAATTTTTACTTGCTACTATATTATGCAAAACTGACTCTTGTGAGCTTTATGCCATGTTATGATGTTGTCTCCTCATCAAAAACATACCTGGACTTGTATTGTGTTTTGCTTCATTCATACATGTTTCTGTAATCCTCCTGCATTAGTCTGTCTACATCTCCAAAGCTCAAAATACTCTGTCCCACCTTGTGATGTCATGAAGCTGTAGTTTTTAAGTTAACAGCTGCTTTTTACCTTTTGTTCAGTAGAAATGGGCTGAAATTATGATTATGATTCTAGTGAAGGTGTATGCAGTTTAAAAACACAGTGGAGTACTTCGTGTATTATCAGATGAAATCACAAGGTGATATGCAGGGTTTTTGTGTTAAATATGTGTAAATGGAACGAAACACAAAACACCAGGTATGTTTGTGATGAGGAAACAACATTATAACATAGATCAGAAAATAGCGTGGGCCCTTTAGCAGCTGGTCCGTTCAAATCCACTGAAAAACAAGCTTTTTTATTCTGTTGCTTCTCCACAGATATAACCTGTAAGTTAAATGCCATTCTGTGGAACATTCCCGGCAAAGCAATATCTCCATGGAAACAAGAAAATAGTGGACCCTCAACCAGCAAAATTACATAGTGCATCTTTAAATATAAATATTAGTGTAAATTAGATGGCCTCGACTCCATATTTTACCTTTTCCCCCTTGGTCCAGATGACGGTCGGCGCGGGGTCTCCTGTGATGGGCACGTCTAGTCTCAGTTTGTTTCCAGCCACGACTATGATGGTGGAGTCAGAAGTGCGCCCCGTTGTGTCTAAGTGGATCTTGGGAGGATCTGGGGAAAAATAATTCAACAATTGACAGCATATATCAATCTTAACAAGAGTATTTTTTAGTCCTGAATGTGGTTTGTTTACCTTGGCGTGGCACATAATCAATCTTCACCTCTATGAGAAAGAAAATGGGTCATTGTCAAGTGTGTTCGTAGGGGAAAATGGAAAATGGAAAGATTTTATATAAAAAATGGTTTAAATTACCAAGGAAGTTCAATTTGGCTGATAGGTTGAAGGCGTGACCATCTGGCACAAATGTATAGTCTCCCTCATCTTCAGGCTTCACATCGTCAATGGTGAGTTTATGGATTCTTAAAATAAAAACATAAGTTTTATAAATAACTAAGCCTATATGTGACATAATCATAATTGAATCCAATAAATATAGAACAGTTAGACTAAACTCAACACTTAATGCACACTAGCACTCTCCAGTAGTACTTAAAATATACAGAAAAATTAAATGCTTTATTTTATTGTATTTATTTGCTTATTTTATTATTATATATTTTTTTTATATTTTTGATTCAAATCGTCACAGTAGCCACCCTTTGCCTGTTTGACAGTGCTGTAAACACTTGCCCTTCTGTCAGTGAGCTTTGTGATGAGGTCTCCTGAAATAGTTTTCACTTCACAGCTGTGTCTTGTCAGGGTCAAGAAATGCCAGAAGAAGTGCAAACCAGGGTTCAAAGCAAACAAGTTTTGAATGATTTTGATATTATTTTTTGTTTGCTACATTCCAAAAAACGATGCTATAGTTTTGGGCCTTCAGTGAGAATCTACAATTAAAAATAGAAATACAGAAGAAACATACATGAAAAAGTGTGTCCAAACATAAAATGTCCCATTACCTGCCAATATGAGATATGTTAATTCTTTCATCAGGTTTGACCTCCACACCATTTTTGAACCAGGTTCCTTTAACAGTTTCATCTGAAACTTCACATTTAAAAACAGCCTGGTCTTTTGCCTTCACTGTCAGGTCCGCAATGCTCTGGTATACCTCCAGCTCCTTCTCTGAAATGGCAGGAAAAAACACACTTACAATTGCAATGATTCATTTTCTATAGAATTTGAAGGCACATGATAATAAATTATAAAATGCAGTATGATCAGGTGGTGTTGTATATAGGTAAAGATTAATGCAGATTGTTGTATGTGGGGATGAAATGGTTTTAATATGTTCTGTTGAGATGTGTTCATTATCCGGCTGCACCTTTGTGTGTTGTATCTTAGCAACTAACACACGGAGTGTAGTTAATTGGATTTATGGCAAAAAATAAAATAGCAGGATATGAATGCCAGATGTAGCAAGAGCCTTGAGCCCATACTGAATATTACAGGAAATAAAATACCTACAGTTATTAAGGTATAACAAACAAACTGCTATCTAAGCAAGATAGGCCTCTGCATACTACTTGAAAAGGTTATAGGAGTTTTTACGTCCGCTTGCATTCACAAATAACACTCATCAAATCACAAGAGTCTGGCTTTTGTCGATCCCCACAGAGCTGTGACAAAAATATCTGGCAGCTCTTGAGATTTTTTGCATGAACATATTTTTAACTGGGCCAACACAAGGAGAAAAATATTATGAAAAGAAATCAAATGTGTGTTTACTTGAATATGAATATGAATATGAATGTAACCAGATAAAATCTGATATATGTGTATAAAATAAGATGAGATACATGTCAACTTAATGAATCAAATACTGATTAGAATAAATGTTTTAATGGATAAAACAGCTGTTATGGTATTGGCCAATATTTCTCTTTAAACAGTATGTGCGATTTTATATTTTAAAATCATAGTTTGTCTACAGATAAATGTTTCAGTATACAGTAGCCCTGTCACTCTGGATATGAGTCACCATGAGTGACTGTGTCCTATGGAAACAGCATGCCTGCAGTGCCACTGCAGGTGCTAGTGATCGGAGAGGACTCCACACTGAGCATGTATGTGTCATGTATGTGTGTGTATGTGTGTCATGTGTATATGTAGTGTGTGTGTATGTGAGCACATGACTGACACTTACCCTGAACTATGAGCTCTGCCACAGACTCGCCACCGTTCGTCTTAACCTTATAAAGGCCACAGTCTTCTTTTGAGGCTTCATTTATTATCAGGACGTGTTTACAGCCGTCCTTCTTGAAGCGATACTTGAACGACTCGTCTCTGGTCAGTTCCACACCATCCTTCTCCCTGCACAGTTAGGTACAGATACTGCTTATTCAAAGGGCAAATAGCACAACTTCACAACACACAAAAAACTTCATGCTACACATTTTTTCTCCTCAGAAGAAAGGTTAAAATCTTGGCCTTTTCACTGGGGTAATAAGTTAAGAGTTGACCTTACAGGCGCATGCAGTTTGTCACAGAGCTCTGAGAACAAATGTCATCTGTTACTGTAGGATCCACCTCCACCCAGAGGACACAGACCTCCACCAGGATGCACCTCCACCCACATGTCCCTATTTTGTCATTAGTTTACTCTTTATAAGCAATTAGATTACACTTTATTTTGGTTGCTGCTTCAGTTCGCTATTAAAGGTGCTAAAGCTCATTTCAATTTTTCACTTATTAGAACGTCAAAGATTGTACATTACATTTCTAAAAGTTTCCACTAGTTTGCTCTACTCCGCTCACATAGGGAAATGAGCAGTTTAAAACATGTTGTCACAAACATAACATGTATTTAACTGTCAACAAATAAAATGGTGCAAATAATAATAACATAGGCATATTAGATGTGTTTTGTCCATGAATGTGTTGCCATAGGCCCTGTGTTTGGTTAAGATTAAGCACAAATCTGTAATGGCTAAGGTTTAAGGTGCACTGTGTAACGTGCCCAGCGGAGGGCCAGTCATCTCCATGGAGATGTGCCAAGAATGTCCCACAGTATGGCCATAAATGTATGAATCTCCATGGAGACGTCCAAGCCAAATAACAGATTAGATTTAACTAGAGGTAACCCCACTCACAGTAAGAATGGATGTTTTTTTTAAGATATTTATATATAAATAACTATAACAAATGCATTTTCACCTCAACAAACAGGTTGCTAACCTTGTCCAGAAAAGTTGGACAGTGCACCTCTAAGGTTTGTGCTTGTCTTTAATGTAAAACTATGTCAATTTTTGCAACTGAAAAAAAGCCAAAGTCATGAAATCACAAACTTTGGTGGTCTTTTGGCATGGCTGCTGTTAGTTAGCTGTTAGTTTAGGGTCCTGTGGAGGGAGCTGTCACATGGGGGTCCTCTGGGTGGAGGTGTGCAGCCAGATCCCTCTTAAACAAACAGGTGCGGTTGCTCTTGTTGATGAGACTTATTCTGTAATGTGACATGAACAATGTGAGAATTTTAAGAGGCACCACCTATTATTACACTGTCGCTAACTTGATGGTATTTTAATTAACAAACTTGTTTACTACATGAGCAAATTTAATTGTTTCTTTACACAATGTATTGTCCAACCAGGGGAGAGATGATATGTAACTGAAATTCAAACAATTAAAGATGCACTGTATAACTTTTTGGTTGGGGGCCCATTATCTGCTTTTTTCTATGGATATGTCATTGCTCTGCCTGGAATGTTCCACAGTATGACTTTAAAAAGCTCTACCTCTACCGACAAAAACAGGCATTCTGACTGTTGGCGGGGTCGCATCTCCACAGACCTAACCTGTAACTTTGGTTTGGTCTCCATGAAGATAAAATTTGATGGACCCTCCAAAAAGTTACACAATGCACTTTTAATTGTTTGAATTTTAGTTACGTATTATAAGTCCTCTGATTGAACAATAGAGCCTGATACTGACATCATAGAATTGTACTGAAAATATTACCATAAGGTGAGACGTTACTTTAATAAACTGACTGCATCTCGTATGAAAGTACTTTCTAGATCAAAGTCTTGTGTATGGAGAGGTTGAACACAGTTTAACATAATTAAAAATATATTAAAACATAATTAAAACTTTCTGACCATTTGACATTGGCTCCTTCCTCAGACACTACACACTCCAGCTCCACTCGATCACCCTTCATCACCATCTGATCCTCCAGATTCTTCACAATTGTAACAGGGGGTTCTGGGCAAAAACATTAATAAATCTACACAAGCTGTTAACGATGCACTATGTAACTTCGGGTGGAGGGTCAGCCACCTGCTTCTCTTCTATCCAAGAAGTTGTTATTGCTGTGCCTAGAATGATCCAAAGTAAAGTAGCGTGCTTTTTTTTTTTCAATCTGGGCATTTTACTGTTCATAAATCTCTTATTTTCCACAGATCTGACCTGTAACTTGACCAGGAGTAATCACTTGTTTGTATCGTATTGTATAAAAGTGAAGACTTCTGTTTGCGGTTAATTAATAATTGTGATTGAATTGAAATGTATTGATGAAATGTTTTAAAGTAACCATCAGTGTTAATGTATTGTCTGGAAAACGGGTCAGATAACATAAAATTACTTTTCTTGCTGCTCCTTTCCATTCATTTCTTGCATGTTTAATGTTATGACACTGTTCATGTCTTTTTATACTTTATGGATGAAATAAACAAACAAATAAATAAATATTCAAAGAGATAAGCTGAATGCCATATTGTGAATCATACTTGACAAATCAGGAACATCTCCATGGAAGAGAACCTCCACCAGAAAGGTTCCATAGTGTAACTTTAAATCCTGATAAACTAGAGCCTTACCTTTGACAAAGAGCTCTGTGGTGCACTTCTCGTCTCCCACCACACAGCTGTAGGCGGCGTCATCGGCCAGCGAGCAGTGGTTGATGGTGAGGTAGCGCATGTTGCCTACGCTCTCAAAAATGTACCTCAACAAAGAATAGATTACTTCACACACTGTTCAAAGCACTTAAGAGAAATCCTTGGAAACTGTAAGAAAATAACATATGTATTGTATGTTTTTTCACTTACTTGCTGAAGAAGGGTCAAGGGAGTCATTTCAGACACCATTGAAAGGACGGCAATGAACAAAGAAATAACAGAAAAGTGTTACTGGCCATGAATCACTACCACACTGCCTGAGAATTATATGATGCCACTCTGTCTCACAAACACAATGACAAATCTTCCTTAGATGGATTTATTTGTACCTTCCAGTGGGTTGAATTTCTTGTCCGTTTTTCAGCCATTTCACATCTACATCTGCATTGGCAACTTCAACAGCTAGTTTAATTTTGTGTCCCTTTGTCACTTGATAGGCAGGATCCAACTTCTTGAGAAATGCTTTTAAAACAATAAACCAGATGTGAGCTTACATTCAAAATATTCACTTAACTATGTAACTTTTCTGGTAAGAGACTGGCTACAGGTCTGCTTGTCTTCAGATTTACCTCTAAGGTTTCTCAGTATGGCATTAAACTTTATTAAACATTACTGAATTACAGATGTTTTTGTTTCTAAATATACTCTGAAAAGCATGCAGGGTCACCTATCCACAGACCTGTAACTTGGCCTAGTGCAGTTGAGATAAGTGTAATGCCATATTGTGGAACATTTCAGGTAAAGCATCTATGTGGAGACAAACTGGTAACATACCCTACACGTGAGAAGTTACAGCGTGCATCTTTAATTTTCGGTACTAACCTTCGCTTCTCTTCTCCTCCTTCTTTTTCATCTTCTTCAGTCTCTTGAGCAATCCTCGGAGGTCAGTAATGCCGTACTTAAAAGCAATCTTCTCGTATTCGGAGGGAGGAGAATTTTTGAGGATTTCCCAAATGTCCACATCTGGCTCTGTGTGCACCTGCACAGACCTGGATAAAACAGTCACATTCAATAAAACTGCATTACACATGTATGATCTGTTTATTAAAATTAAATAAAGCAAACAATGCAATAATATTTGTTAGTGAGTAAAATATTTAATACCATCTACCATGTCTACATAAGCCCCCCCTTCCCTCTTTTTTGACATAGAAAAATATGCAGTACCACACCTGTCCACTAGATGCTCCCAATAAGGTGATCATCAACTAAACGGAGCAATAACTGCAGACTTTAACTAAGACAAATCTGTTCACCTTCTATTTCTTTTTGTGCAAGAAAATGAATTTAAGATGCTTATAGCGGGCTCTTACCGATTTGAGGGTTTTAGGAAACTGCTGCTCATTCAGAAGTTGAATTCAAGATGCAAAACAAACCAAAAGCATTAAAGCACAGCAAATTAAAACGTTGACTAACAAAATAACCGCATATTAAAATCATGAAATTATGAAACCTTCAGCACAATCACACAGAAGCAGCAGGAAGCAAAAAAGGTAATTTTACGTGATTATTCAACAAAAGGGGAAAATATTACTTTAGTTAATTAAGTGGAAATGGACAAATTAAAAATAACAGAAACAGTGACTAGCAAAATGCACGTGAGTTCATGAAATCATTAATTAATTTGTGTTATTTTGGTACAGTGTATGCGTGTCACACACATTTCTGTATCTGTCATTCTGATTAGTGGGTTGAATAAAGGGAACTTACTCTCTGAGTCCACGAGGGTAGAAAGGAAACAAGACAGACAGACAAATGAGCACATTTTTCAGATGTAATTATAATTGATAATGTTGTTCATTCACCTTTTCTTTAACAAAGCGCTAAAGTCCAGCTCTCCCGAGTCTTCTTTTCCATCGCAGCTACTGCAAAGACATCAACATACCAACAGGTTACACAGGAAAATAACTATGTTGTTTTTTTTTTTGGCTGCTGCAGATTCAGAAAAGCAGCGGGCTTTATTATTAGCCTGATGAGCATTTCCTAGCATCGGTTAGCACTTCCTGTCAGAGGTCAGAAGATTTTTTATTTTATTCATTTATTTATTTATTTATTTTAGATGAGTAAGTTGGGTTAGTTATATAGAAATGTCTTTGAGATCAGTCAGTCTATCTATAAAGCTATAAAGCTCATAAATCCAGTTTTGTTTGATGAAGCTTCTTGTCTTGCTCTCTTTCTGATTTGCTAGCATACATTAAGCTAAAACCTTTAAGATAAGTTACAATGTTTTAAAGCACAAAAAGCCTGCAAAACACAAATGGTAAAATGGAAAGCATGCTCAAGATCAAAATATGACATGCATAGTTTTCAATAATATAGCTTAAAAAATATGCATTGTTGTAGTTATTGCACAGGTTAGTTTGGGTCATTTGGGTGAATGACACAACACAACATTGGTGCATTTCCTCTGGTGAAATCTTGTGGAAGAAATTCTTGAAAGCACTTTGTGATTTCTTGGCACATAATGTACCATCAGTACCACACTAAAATATTTAGTGTGCATTTACTTTGCTGTTTAAATTGAGAATCAGAAGTAGATCATTGCAGAGAGCACGTGATCACAGATTACAGATTTGTGTAATAATAACTTCTTTAAGCTCACTGTGATCTCACTTCACATATTCTCAAATTTAAAACAACATTTTAAAACTTTGTGTCTCAGTTTTGACTTGACGTCAGAGAAGAAATGGGTTGCATTAAAGTAATCCAGATTTCTTTGCTCTTTCGACAGTCAGATTCATCATCAGTGAAGAATCGGGATGAACCTCCAAATCTCCACTACCTTATCGAGGCTCCACTTCTCTTCTTGCCGCCCTCATTCCTGATAGGTCAGCATTTTACAATTATTCTTTACATATTACTTTTAAGTGGTACACTTTACTGTCTCTGTAGGGAAATTTTTCTCTGCATTTTACCCATCCTTATCTCATTTTTAAATTGCTCAATTCCAATTTGGTAGTTTATATCCAAGAATCTACTTGATTTAACTGAAATTACATGGGTGCATTTTCACTTATAAACACCATTAATCAACATTGGGACTAGAATGGGACTAAACATTAACTAGAACAGGACTAAACTACATCTAGATCAGAACTGAACTAGTGTGAACACAACCTATATCAGAACCCAGGTCTGTACCTAGAACTGTGTGTTCATTTTCTAACAAAAAATGCCAACACTTTGGCTAGCATCTCTATCAGTCAAACCATTAAAGCTGGGTCTTGTGAATGCAATAAGGTTCTTCAAACTATCAAACAATAAGACTTACGTTCGCCTGAAGGCTGCTCTTATGTCCAGACCATCAGATACATTAGCCTCTGCAATGAAAGTCAAAGCAAGGTTCTCAAAGTAATGTAAACTTATGCTGTAATATATTATGGGATCTATAATGAAAAATGAAATGACCCACCATGCACAGTCAGGTCAAAGTTACAGCTATCAAACTTGTCTCGGGATGAAACTTCACATCTGTAACCTCCAGCATAGTTAGCCTTGGCTGCAATAATTTGCATCTCAAATGTATAAATCTGTAATCAAATAATTAAATCAAATATTTGTTATTAATATAATTACTTAAAACCGTATGAAAACCGGCACATTTGGCATACTTTACTGTTGCGATCGTAGGTCTCCTTGAGCTGCAAATGTTTTCCTGATTTGCTGGCGAGGTCCATCCACTTTCCCTTGAACCATTTGATTGTGGGTTTCTTCAGCAGAGATGTTGCGTTCACTTTGGCCACAAACGTGATATTTCCTCCTGCAGCATATTGTATCAAGGGCTTTAATTCATGAACAACTTATTTATTTATTTCTCAGATATTTTGGATATTTTGTTTACTCACCCACAGTGACCTCTCCAGACTGCGGTTTCTCAGTGAAGAGGCCAGTCAGGTCCTGCCTTGTGTCCGAAGCCTGTCCATCTAGAAAAACAGGGCAAAAACAGGTAACCTAAATTGTCAGTACAGCTAATCATGTTTACTTTTTCCATAATTATAAAACCACATGTACACATAATTCACATTCACAGTTGACAGTTCTTTTATGTTCAGATTAATCATCAGCCCACCTTCAGTTGTGGCAGCAGCGGTCTCATCTTTCTGCGATCCATCTGCGGGGGCAGCAGTGGTCTCTGTCTCTGCACTCGGCTGCATAGGTGCTTCTGCAGGTGTCTCGGCAGGTGTCTCGCCAGGAGTTGCTGCAGGTGCGTCTACAGGGGGTTTCCCAGGGGCTTCAGCAGTGGCTTCAGAAGGGGCTTTGCGAAACCAAAATCATAAGAATGAGCTATTGTACAAAGTTACTGAGATATTTTTCTACAGTCTTATGTTGTCATCAAGTGCAATTCTCACTATAAACAACTCAAAGCACATTGTATTTAACACATTTTTTATGGAAAAGAACATTACATGAATAAGCTTTTATGATAATGAATCTTCGCATTCTGCATTTCCATTTCTACCTATTAGTATAGTAAACCTGCCCAGACTGTCATAAATTAAATGCCCTATATTACAAAAAGCTTATAATGTTCGTACCTCATCAAAAACATATCTGGAGTTGTGTTTTTTCTCCTTCACACATGTTTGAGTAATCCTTTACTATTAGTCTGTCTGCATCTTCAAAGCTCAAAATGCTCTGTTCCACCTTGTGATGTCATGAAGCATGAATGTAGTAGTAGTTTTCAATTAACAGCTTTTTTTACCTTTTGTTTAGTAGAGATTCCACACCTGACATTATCTAAATCATTATAGTGAAGACGTATGGAGTTTCAAAACACAGTGGAGCACTTCCTTTATTACCACATGACATCACAAGGTGGAACAAAACATTTTCTTTTTGAGAGAAGAGCTCAGCCTCAATATGCAGGGTTTGTGTGTTAAACATGTGCGAATGAAACAAAACTCAACTCCAGGAGACAACATCCCAGCATAGATCAGAAAATGGCCTAATATGGGCCCTTTAACCAAGTTTAAATCAAATACACAAAGAGTGTTTGAAGTGACATGCACACACTATTCACGAGAGGTGCTCTCATTACTGTGAAAAACTTGCTTTTATCACTCGTGTGTTATCTGGTGTGAGCGGCTTGTTGACTGATTTTCCATGCGTTATCGTCTGCCTCTCGTGGCCGTCCTGAACACCAGAGCAGGGCTGGTTACTCAAGAGGAAATAATGTGCTGGTGTGAGGCCCAAGGTCATCCTGCAGACAGAGGGTGGCAGTGATAGGAGCCATAGACAGCTGCGCACAGTCGCCCAGGCTCTGCGGACCACTCGTCTGGAGCCTTTCTGAGAGATTTGTTTCCACCTTATCAAATCCAAACAGCACAAGTGTTCTCAGCGACTCAGTGGAGCAGAAGTGGGCTATTGCAGGGTTATGATGAATTAAAAGGAGTGACAACGCAAAGACAGTATATAGAGACATTTAGGGTCAAAGGTCCTATATTCCACAAAATTGACTCCTGTGTGCTTACAGCTATGTTAGAGTACTGTTACCTCATCAAAAATATACCTGGAGTTGTGTTTTGTTTCATTCACACATTTGAATGACCCTTTATTATTAGCCTGTCTACATCTCCAAAGCTCAAAATGCTCTGTTCCGCCTTGTGATGTCATGTAGTGATAGTTTTCGAAGTTAACACTACTTTTTTTTTTAACCTTAGATTCAGTAGAGATTGGTAATTCCAAGACTGAAATCATCCAAATGATTCTAATGAAGGAATATGGAGTTTAAAAACATAGTGGAGCACTTCCTGTATTACCACATATCATCACACGGTGGAACAGAGTGTTTTGAGCTCTGGAGATGTAGACAGACTAATAATAAAAGGTTACTCAAACATGTGTAAATGAAACAAAACACAACTCCAGATATGTTGTTGATGAGGAGATAACATTGTAACATAGATCAGAAAATAATAGAATAAAGGCCCTTTAAAGTTGCTATACCAGATTTGTATTGCCCCAGTACAAACATATTGTGAAATCAGTTCTTAGGATCGAAATAAGTTTGCTTTGTACCACCTGCTTCCAATTATAAAGGAGTTTTAATCGACTGAGGATGAGGAAGTCCTTTGTTAGCATGCTAGCTTTTGTTAACATTACTCTGATGTCAAAAATCCAATCTGGTCTCTGAAAGTCTCTGCGATGAAAAATTTGAATGCAAACCATTTTAAATGAAATGTTTTGTTTTTCACATCTTTAAACCAGTAAAAAATCAGGCATAGGTACAATAAGCAGTGGGTTAATTTGTTGTTTGTGACATCATGAGTAGGCAGTGGTGGCATAGTGAAGTTGAATGTTGCTGAATCCATAGCTTCTGTGATTTCCGTGCTCTGTGCCTCTGTTAACATGTGGACGATACAACACGGCAGTTTCAAAATGCCCCACCTGGCTTTGTGGCTACTTTCAGCTCAAACTTGACCTTTGAACCCCCAGCGATCACTGCGTAGACATTGGCGTCGTCCGTTGTGAGATCACTGATGGTGAGGGAGTGTTTATTCCCATTTGCAGAGATTGTATATTTGTCACTGGCCACTATGTCTTTGGCGTTGCACTGCCATTTTACTTTGGCATCAGCCTTCTCTGTCTCCGCCTCAAAAACCACCGAGGTGCCCTCCTCTGCCTCCTTTGCCTTTGGTTTCTTGGAGAAAGCTGAAACTGAGTCATGGATTCAGCCACAGATAAATGATTATGATTATTGTGAATACCATTTACACACGAAATAGAATGAGTGATTGACTGATCAAGTTTGAGGCTCAGAAGAACAACAGTTGATGTGGGAAAAAGTGCGTTATCATACTGCAAAAATAGAAGTCTGCTCTTCTGAAAAAATAAAAATATTAATAGACCTTAAACCACATGTTACCATTAACATTTCCAACAGCAGCCCTCTTAAAACGGTGACAACATTTGAAAACTATTTATTGCGTTTAAACAAGCCCTTGTTTTGCACCAGCTATTGACAGAACCTTTCTCTGGTGTCTACTTAACTATTCAAAAGTTCTTTAAGAAGTTCATTAAGAAAAAGCATATACTTGTCAGTAAAATGTTTTGTAAAACTGCAATATAACTACTCATTTTTACAGCCTTAATAGAGCATAATTATTTAAGTAATCACTAAATTAAAGAGTTATAATTAGAAGTTAAAGATGCACTACACAACTTTTCTGGTGGAGGGTCCGCTACCTACTTGTCTCCATGAAAATGTTATTGCTTTGCCTGGAATGTTCTATGGTATGACTTTAAACATACCCATCTAGCATTTACTCATTATGTGTGTTTTTATTGCTCAAAAATACAATAGTTCCTTCTGTAAATAGGGGCAACTCTCCACAGATCTGAATTGTAATGTAGCCTTGTGCTCATTAAGAATCATTTTTATAAACCATTTATTCATATTAAATTAAGTCTTTCTTTATGAAAGCTATTAAAAGTGTAGTTATTATAAAGCGTTACCAAATATTTTGAATAACAAAACCATAGTCTAATTGGAAATGCTAAACAAAAGTCCTGTACTTGTTTAAATATAGTCTCTATATGTTCAGACCTAATAAAGGCGAGTGCAGGCCTCAGGTATCCTCGTGGGGGGATTATCTTGGCTCTATTTTAGTTCCTCTGGAGACACACAAGAATGATGTGCTCTGTCTGTCTGCACTCACCGCTTTCTACTGTTACACCTCCAGCTGTCAATCAATCACGGAGTTTCACCTTCACAGCTCCTAAATCTGTCAGGCGCTGGGTTTTAAATAAAAGTTTGTAACCATACAGTAATACTTATAGCAAAGATGATTGTTATTATAAAGTTAATAGTTATAAACGCTAATGACCACATATTAGTTGTATTGTAATGATTGGTCTATAATGGAAAAATGTATTCTGTATCTGTTCTTATTTTGAATTTCTTACATATACCACTTTTTATATTACTTCCTTTATTGTATACGGAAATATTAACTACAGTCCCTGACAAAAGTCTTGTCGCTTATCGATTTTGTAGAAACAAAAGCTTATAACCTGACTTTAAATTAATCGATTGGTTTTAGAAATGTCTCATATGAAAGCTAAAACCCTCCCAAATTATGCTCAATATACTAAAATATATTAGCTTCACTGAAGAAAGATTGATCATTTAATGAACTCAGAAAGGTCAGATTTTGGCAAGACAAAAGTCTTGTCGCCTTGTCATATAATGCACCCAATCCTAGATTACAGCCTCACCTGTGATCAGATACTGATCAATCAATTAGTGAGTGTGTATAAAAAGAACCCCAGCACCCAGACCTTCACATCAACTGCAAATTGACCTCTGACAACATGCCTAAGATCCACCCTGAGACCAAAGCGTTAATTATCAAGAGGCTGAAGACCAGATCCACTGCTGAGGTGGCTGACACCTTCAATGTGTCTCAGCGTCAAGTACAAAGAATAAGAAAAAGATCTGAAATGACTGGAGATGTTTTTGACAAGCCCAGGTCCGGCAAACCCCGCAAAACAACTGCTCGGGAGGACCGTTTGTTGATTTGAAAATCCAAGGCCCCTTTTCCACTGCAGCAGAGCTCCACCAGGCCTGGTCACCTCAAGTCCCTGTGTCAACTACAGCAGTTTGTAGAATTCTGTCTCGAAATGACCTCCATGGTCGAATCAGTGCACAGAAACCAGCACTAAACAAAAGGCAATTAAAAAAACGTGTGGCATTTGCCAAGGCCCACAGCCTGCTAAAAGGATGGACACTGGAAAAGTGGCAGAAGGTGGATTTCTCACATGAATCCTCGGTTGAATTACATCACAGCTGCCGCAAATATTGCAGGAGACCTACTGGAGCCCGCATGGATCCAAGATTCACCCAGAAATGGTGGCGGAAAAATCATGGTCTGGGGTTACATCCAGTATGGGGGTGTGCGAGACATTTGCAGGGTGGAAGGCAATATCAATAGCCTAAAATATCAAGAAGTATTAGCTACCTCTTACATTCCCAACCATAAAAGGGGTCAAATTTTGCAGCAGGATGGTGCTCCACTTACTTCTATCTCTACATCAAAGTTTCTCAAGGCGAAGAAGATCAAGGTGCTCCAGGACTGGCCAGCCCAGTCACCAGACATGAACATCATTGAGCATGTCTGGGGTAGAATGAAAGAGGAAGCATGGAAGGCAAAACCAAAGAATCTTGATGAACTCTGGGAGGCATGTAAGACTGCTTTCTTTGCTATTCCTGATGACTTCATCAACAAATTGTATGAATCATTGTCAAACCGCATGGATGCAGTCCTTCAAGCTCATGGAAGTCACACAAGATATTAAATATGGATCTCACAGCACCACTACTTAATTCACTGACGTTATGCAACATATTTTTGTATTTGAAGTAAATTATTTGTTCAATTTTCTGTAGGCGACAAAACTTTTGTCTTGCCAAAATCTAACCTTTCTGTGTTCATTAAATGATCAATCTTTCTTCAGTGAAGCTAATTTATTTTAGTATATTGAGCATAATCTGGGAGGGTTTTAGCTTTCATATGAGACATTTCTAAAACCAATCGATTAATTTAAAGTCAGGTTATAAGCTTTTGTTTCTTCAAAATGGATAAGCGACAAGACTTTTGTCAGAGACTGTATGCCTGTCACAAAAATGACTATATCGACTTATCAACATATTTATGTAATTTTTCTTTGCAACAGTGGGGAGGTTTTTGTTATTTTAGTTGTAATACCATAGGATTTGACCTGTAGAGGGTCAAATCAGTAACTTTTATGGTGCATTCTGCTATTCATTTGCTGCAGCTCATACATTTTTTATGATACAGTATATTTAAAAAAATGGTCTACGAGATTATCTTAATTTAATGTTCCTGCGGGAGTTTCAATATTACTTTTTTATTGTGATATTTATCTTTAGCAGTATATCATGTTTCAAAATTTGTCATTGTAACAGGCCTAATATTAACGCTTGTATTTGTTGTACTTTTAATTTGGAAAGCTATGCGTACTACCCTAATATAATTAATTGGAAGTATTCAATTAGATCACTACCACACATTGGCATTAAGGATAATCTAGGCTTAGGTCAACTATGCTTCACAAATCCTTATCACTGGCCTCAGACAGAAGCTAGATACCTGAACTGCATTGTGTCAGCTGGTAGGCTGAACTTTAGCTCCCACACAATCCATTATTACAGCTGAGTGAGAGAAAAAAAGCTGTTGAAACTCATTGTCACGTTCTTGAGTCCAGCATTTGCTGAATGTAGTGATACTTTAAATGCTCCAGGATCAAATATACGTCAGACAATGTTTCCAAATGGGACACATGAGCCTGTCTCTCACTGCCAAAGGATTTATATAAACTTTCACACCATAGGACATTACATTTACTGCATATGTGTGGACTCTCTGTACTGGACATCCAAACATGGGGCACATTAAAGTGGACATATGATGCAAAATGTAACTTATTATTGTTTTTGCGGTGCTCCTTCAATATCTTACTCAGTGTTGCATGCATACTTGAGTAATCCCCTATTGTCTTGCATTTGTAGTTTGAGTGTTCAGAAAGTCTCTTGTTTCACCTATCCCCTATCCCCTGTCTCCACCCTCTGCTCTTGCAGTTATTGAAAAAATCTGACCCTGGGCCAAACATATAGGGCTCAAAAATATCTTGAAGCTATTTTTCAACAATAGAAACAGGTAAATAAAAATCTGCCAGGAAATCAATCAAACTGTCTTTTAGAACAATATGGTGTTTTATAATGAATAAAATGCTAATTAATGATATGTACATTGTATTGTATCACAAATTCTCTGAAAAAGTCATTTTACCTGCTTAAATAAAACGTTAGGTTCATTTGAATACAAACTGTTGGACACTACAGGAAAACAGTGAGAGATACAGAACTACATTCTTAGCATACCTCATACAACTATGTCATGTCAACCACTATTTCATTGTTACACCGTTTCTCCTTATGACCTCTTGTATATAGAGGTATATTTACTATATTTACTATATTTCTATAATTTTATTTTACTTGTACATACACTGTACTTATGCCTTATTTGACACCAGTCCCTTGCTTTTTTCCTACTTTGAATTTATTATTATCATTTATATTTTTGTATTTTTATATATTTCCCTTGTGGATGAATAAAGTTTGTCTAAGTCTCTAAGTCTGTGCTAGTCCACTCCTCATGCCTGCATTAAAGCACAAGTATACTTCAAAGTGCTAATAATACCTACTGATAAAACACATTTTTGTAAACAAGAGAATTTCATGATTTCCAGTAAGATGCTAAAAAGAATTACATTGACAGTGCCCAGCAGTGATGGGATAGTGCTTACCTGTTTTCTTCACTGGCTCTGGCATCCTGAGATCCTGAGCTGTCTCCGCTCCTCCACAACGGGGCGTCCTAAACAGATCTGTCAGACTCAGCCCTCCGCCTTTAAAGCAACTCTTCCAAACAACACTCCCACCTTTGGCAATCCATCCCTCCTCATCCCCTTCGTATATCTAACCCCCCCCTCCCTACAAACACACACAAACACATATAAATACACGCACGCGCACACGCAAACACATCCATTACAGGCATCCATTTTGGATTTTCATGTTTCATGGGGACATTACACTTCACATTACACTTCATTCATTTCCTGAGCACCCTCCTTAAATTTAACCATAGCCACTTCTTGCCTGAACTCAAAATAAACCATAACCTTGGTGTATTTTAACCCATATCTGAACTTCAAATTTGTATGTTGATCTAATAATAAAGGATTTATATTATGTTCCCCTCAGAGAGGCAGACTCCTTAGAATTGAGTGTATATCAATTTTAGTTACGCAATGTGATTAATACTCACATACTTGCATCATGTTTTTGAGGACCTTACATCGACATGAATTTCCCTATCCTAATCTTAGCCATTAGTCATTATTTGTCTAACTGTAACCTAAATCCTAACCTTAACCTATTTTGACCCATATCTGAACTTTAAACTACATTGTTGTTCTAATAATAAAGCATTCACGTCATGGGGAGCTGATTTTTTTTGTTCCCATAGGAGAAGCATGAAGTGATACAGATTCTAGTCCCCTCATTCTGATAATTACCAGCCCACACACTCTGGGCGTGCTCGTGATGTCATTCAAGTAGCAGCAGTGGCCCTGGCCCCACCCCTGTCCTGCCTGACCTTAGCCTATATTCAAGGTTCTCTCCTCGGACACTTCCACTCACTGACAGGCCTCTAGAGTGAGTGTACGGGAGCCTGGGGTTAATTTTAGACCATTCATTTAAGCAAGTCCTCCTACTAGCCTGTATCACCGCCCGTCACCCTCTAAATGCAGACAGTATTTGTACTCAAGTTAAAGTACTGTTACAAGACTCAAAAATATACTAAAATATATATAAATCCTGCTGCCAAATTTGTCATTAATCAGAGCAGACTATGTGCTGTCATTGTGTGTGTTATCCATTCAAAATATATAATATTTTGAATTGAATTGAGTTATTGTTGCTATAACAATGGAGGGCCCAAATCAAGAAGGAATCCAGTTGCCTGAAACGCATGAAAAGAAAATAGTGGAGACAGCAGTGAGGTAGCCGGATACTGGGACGAATCGGACTTGTGGTGTATTCATTAACTCCTGTGGTTTTAAGTGTAAATAATTACAATTACATGGCACAGATTTAAAATCAACTTAAAATGTATAATAACTTCAAAAATATTTTATTTATTTATTTAGTTAGTTAGTTAGTTTTCTGTGGGACAGTGAAAAATCAATTACAGAAACTCAATTACAGTAGAATTTGGTAGTTTTGTATTTTGAATATAGCTTATACATTCAAATAGACTTATACTGGAATCAAGGTTTGTGCTACGTGCATTGTAAACATAGATGTCATATGTCAGGGTTGTACATAATTTTCATTCAAAAATGTTCATTCATCAGAGCGTAAATGCATGAACTTATTTCTAACAGAATGTATTACAAAGCGTGAGGCGCCTTTGTGTAGTTGGTGTTGTAACCACTTTACTGGAGTGATTTCCTCCGTTATCTTCGTCTTCACTTCAACAACTTACTTCCTGTCTGGCTCCTGTCTGCATGTCTCAAAATAAGTGAAAACTCAAATTTCCACCTATAGAGACCTATGTTTTTACATTGCAGTACAATTTACTGGGAAAAACAACATTTATTTCAGAGTTTAGTCCAAAGTTTAATTGGCTGTTTTATGGAGTGAATCATTAGTCATCGTCATATACAATGTATTTTTTGTTTGTTTTAAAAAAGTTTAGACCTGACCATTGTAACATGAACTATGATAATACCTCTTATTTTTAAACCATAACTTTTCAAATGCTAAAATAGGACCTCTGACTGCTGGCGTGCTCCCCCACACTTGCTCCTGAGTCCTCACGTTGTTTACAGACCGCTCATTAGAGAGTGTGAATGTTTGGCCGCCGTGAGCTGATGATATCTCAGCCAATGTCTTCGTGTAACAGGTGTTCCTGCTGGGACAGGTATTTAGTCGATCTATCACACACACAAAGTAGACAACAACATGTACCAGTACACAAAACATAGTATTTTCAGTGCTAAATATAAACCATAACTTATTTAAGAATAATGTAATGTCAAATGGTGGGGTTCAGTGAAATCTGTGTAAAAATATATATTTGTTTTTCCTTAGGTTAATGGTGGAGGGTTTGCTACTTGCTTGTCTCCATGGAGATTATTTCTTTGCCTGGAATGTTCCACAGTAGGGCATTGAACATATCTTTATTTGTTCAATTACAGATGTTTTATGGCTCAAAAATAACTTAAAAAATACAAATTCTTACAATGTGCAGGCTTGCTTCTCCATGGATCTGACTATTAACCTGTCGCCATTGTGATTACAAAGTTTATTTCCATACTGTGGAATCAAGGCAAAACAGCAATATCTCCATAGAGACAAACAGGTGGCGAACCCTCCACCAGAAAAGTTATACAGTGCTCCTTTTAAGATGACTTTAATTCAGATAATGAATTGTATGTAGTAGTAGATTTTAATCATTCATATGTTTTAAAAATTAAAACAGTATTTGAAAATAAAAACATATATTTGCCTTATGAATAAAAAAATACTGTTCAAACTCACTCAAATCATCATCATAACTTAATAATAATGTAATTACGATGTTCAATAAAACCTGTTTCAAGACATTTTCCTTGGCATTTGATCATTTCATAGCATAATATCAGTGCAGAGTTATCAAGCTTAACTATTCGGGTTTATCTGGGCTGAAAGTACACAAATTTGTTCAATTGTTTTTAATCACCTTCTGTAATGTCATTACCATTGTACTAAGTGAGTGTGCATCCATTTTGTTGTGCCTGGTTGTTCTTGCTGTGTTGCTTTGACATCGTTGCCTTTGTGAGTTTCACCTGTCTGTGCAGATCAGTGTCACCTCGCCCACTGAGGGGAGCTGTTGGCTCTGCACGAACGCCACATGCTTCTGTATTTAAAACCTTTGGCCAGTTACCGCTGTCTCTCCCTGGGGTATTCCTCTTTAAAACCTGTACTTTATTAAGGAATTTTTACTATTTAAATTGATGTAAAGTTTAATGGACATTGATAAAAGTAAGGATAAAACTTTTAGTGTGCCCTTTGATAATGCCAAGACTATATTGACCTGGTTTTCACCTTAAATGACCTAGAGGTACAGTACAGTTTTAAGTTAATTACATTTACGACAAACATTTTATATTACAAAATTGTAGTAACTTGCTACCAGACTCATAATATAATACAATAATTTGACTACAACATAGTTACAAGTTCCGTTTTAGTGATTTTGTTCTGACATTTTAGGTCTTTAATCATCACTGTCTATTGCTGTTTATAGACTAGGCGGACAGTACATTAACTTATGACCTTTCAGATGATCTGTTTTTGAAGTGTATTCAGTTTCATTTTATTTCATATTTAGTGTAAACCAGCAGTAAACGTTCGTACAGCTGTTGTTTATCTTACATAGGCATTGTCCCTTTACATCATGAACTGTATTTAACCTGCCCTCATTCTTTTCCTATCAGAGGTCAGGTTACTTTGAGCCTAAGGCAGTTACATTATGAGAAAAATCACCTTTACACAGACACATACAATTACAACTTTAATAATGTATGTACAATATCATATTTTACACATCTCTGGCACAAAGAACCAGAGCCAGTTTTCTACTTAAATAGCATTTTAAAAGAAATCTCAAAAATGTTTTATTCTTTAAAATTAAAAACACATTCCAGAGGATTCCTATAGTCCTATAAACGCTGCATTGTGTATATTGTTACTGTACAGTGTAATGCTATGTACATAAGGGTATTATGGTGCTCTAAATTTAACTGCATAAAATGTATTTAATTCAAATAATTCATTTTGTGTAGTTTAGATTTTAAAGGTGCACTAACTTTACTGCCACCTGCTTGTCTCCATGTTGTCTCAAACATTTGATTGGTATGTTCCACAGCATGGGATTATCTTGCTTAAAATACCTTGAAACCATGTATTCTTCCTGAGTTGCATAAATCTCCATGGAGACAAGCAGGCAGCGCACCCTCCACCAGAAAAGTTACATAATTCCTCTTTAAAATTAAAATTTTTGGAAAAAGTATTAAGAAACACATACACATAAGTTGGTTTAATAAATAAATCCAAACTGAAAATTAAAACAGCATCTCTAAATGTAAGTCATTTTAACCTGTAATAATATAACACAATATATTTTAACTTTTTGGTATGTGTGGGTGTGTGTCTAATGTTTCCTGTCCAGATGGCTCTTTCCCAACACCTCATCACTAAATTGGTATGTCAGCTTCTTCTTAATTTTTTTCACTTCGCCAGTTTTGCCATAGTTACGCAAAGCCCGTGCCATTTTCTGATATGTCATTTTTTTGCGGTTGCCCTTCTGGATGCCCCAGCGGTGGGCGAGTGCCTCCTTGTGTTTGGATGAGAACTGAAATGTGCCTTTGTCCCGGTCCACCCACCAAATACTGTCTTTCATTTCGCCATTTCGCAAGAGGTCCAAAAGAAATTGGTACAAGCGGATCTTCTTTTTGTTGCCTGTAAAGTGGAAAAAGTATAGATTTAGTCAAATGTATTTTTCCAGTATTAAGTGGAGACTATAAATAATAGAAACAATCTGCTTCTTAATCAGTTGATGCCAAGTCTAAAGTGAGTCATTTTCCAGACTTATTGAAAAGCTTTACATTTATTCTGTGCATGCCGGTAAACAATATTGTCTCATTACAGAAGCATTATATTCAGTGGTACATTAAGCATAGAAAATGCCACAATGATGGATCAGTTTGGTAGACTGAGTTTTGCATTGAGAATTAGTTTTTAATACGTTAGATGTGAAATTTATCAAAGCATTAAAGTTGCATTATGCCACTTTTTGGTTGGGGGTCTGTCCTGCTTGTTTCTATGGATACGTCACTGCTCTGCCTGGAATGTTCCACAGTATGACATTAAACAGCTTTACCCTACATTTATTAAATTACTTAGTTTGGTCTCCATGAAGATAGAAAGGATTAATACCAGTGTGAAACATTCCTGACAAAGCAATAACATCTCCATGAAGAAAATGTAACATTTGACAGATGCTCCACCAGAAAAGTTACACAGTGCACCTTTAAAACCATTATACTGTACTAACCATTTATTACTTATCAAATATTTCTTATGTTTAAATGATCAACCAATTACGGGAATTGTTCTATTCCCTTCATATTCATTTAAGCCATAAAATCTGCACTATGTAACTTTTGTAATGGGGGTCTGTAACCTACTTTTAAAACCATACTGTGAAAAATTTTAGGCAAAGCAATAACATCTCTGTGGAAAACAAGAACATGGCAGACCCTCTATCAGAAAAGTTACACAGTGCAACTTTTAATACTTTACTAACATGCAGTTTATTTGGTCTAGCTACCCCACTCTGACCCTCGGCCGTACCGAGCTCTCCTGGGATGTAGGGCAGCCGGTCTCTGCACTCTTCGTCAGACACCTCCAGAGCTCTGTTGTCTTCATCGTCTGAGCTGCGCTGTGAGATCTGAGGGTACACCGCCCGAGAATAGTAGGCCACCTATGACACACGCACACAAAGGCTCTTTAAGCTTTTGAGGTTCCTTTATATTCAGGAAGCTATTGTTACTGTCAAAAGTAACAACATAAAAAACACAAAAGAGCAATCAATCAATATAGCTATAAAGGAGCATTTTATTTGTCTTGATTTGTGATGTGCAGGTTATACAAATAAAATTCTTCAGCTTTCTTTCATTTATCCTGTCTTGTGACACTACCTTTGACCCCTTGCCTGTTTTTGCAAAGTGTCAAACATACTTAAAGTTTAATTTGCCTTAACCATGCTTTGCACAACGTTTCTGATGGAGGATCCGCTACCTGCTTGTCTCCATGGAAATGTTATTGCTTTGTCTAGAATGTTCGCAATATTGGTTAAACCTAAGTCCTAAGTCCTGTGCTCAGGTCTCTGCACTGGCTTCCTGTGCGTCAGAGAATAGACTTTAAAGCAGCTCTGCTTGTGCACAAGTCTCTCCATGGCCGAGCACCAAAGTACATCTGTGACATGTTAGTGTCATATGAACCATCTCGCACTCTGAGGACCTCAGGGACCGGCCTCATGCTGGTGCCCAGGTTCATGCAGCTAAAACCTGGAACAGTCTTCCTGAACATGTGAGAAAGACTCTTCTGTGACGCTTTTTAAATCCAGGCTCAAAACATTTCTGTTTAACTGTGCATATGACTGAAAGGTTTTCATTCCTCACTCTTCTCTCCAATTTATGTCTCTCTTTTTAAATTTTAATATTATTTATGTTTTGATTTGTTTTTATTGTGATTTTAATGTATTTCATATTCTGTAAAGCACTTTGAATTACTTTGTGCTATACAAATAAACTTGCCTTGCCTTGCCTAAACCTACAGTATCTATCACAAGGGAGACAAGCAGGTTACGGCACTATGCTACATTATAATTCAGATCTGTGGGGAGTCCCCACAGATAGAATTATTGTATTTTTTAGCAATAGGAACACTTGTAATGAATAAAGGCTAGATAATTTTTTTAAAGTTATACCATTGAAAATTTCATACAAAGCAGTAACATCTCCACAGAGTCAAGTAGGTAACTGACCATACACCGGAAAAGTGCACCTTTAAAATTAGTCTATAAACATGATGTATTTTGCTTTATTTAACCAATATTCTGAAGAAGACCTGACAAGAGGCGCGTCAGCCTATTTACAACTAATGTTTAACACATATCCCATTTCTATCAAACTTTTTGTAAGTACAGATTTAAACAAGGCCAGGGGAAGTTGAATTTGTAGAGAGTTATAAATAAATGATAAATTCCACCACATTTCTTTAAAGTTTCTTAGTCTGAATGACCTCGGTTCGGGTGAATGGTAGATAAGTTTTGATAAAAAAATATCAGTTGAGATTAACCAACGCTTGAGTGCAGTACAGCAAATGTCTGTTTCCATGGAGAAGTTATTTAAATCGCAGATGAAACATGACTCATAACTATTTTTCCTTCATTATTTCATGGCTGCTAACTTTAATTGACTGTTGACGACGTGGTGGATGTCTAAAGCATATAGTTTTACGAGCTGGACATAATAGCAAATACATAAAATATAAATAAACACACACAGTAGTCACATGTAACATTTAAACAGTTTTGGGTGGCAGTTATTAGTGGTTGTGTGTGGGCTGAACTAAATTTACCCAGTTACAGTAACAGTTGCATGTTTCTGCATGGGCTGCGATGTGTGGTCGCTGTATGCCTGGGTGGGCAACACTTTATTAGTGGAAACACTTGAATTTTAGTGTGAGTGACAGTTTGCACTTTTTAAGCCTGCTTTTGATAAATGCAACTGCAGCACTACTGTACATTCTGTTTTAAGCACACTTTTGTCAACTTGGTAAACACATAGCTATCCAGTATGAGATACTAAAAAGGGTAGGTTGCTAATTTTTAACAGTTAAGTATTTATCCACCCACTGGAGGCTAACTGGTTCAAATATAGTCTTTGGACACTTCCACCACATTACAAGCTGCTCCAGTCACACAATAAAAACTGACTTTATTAAATGAAGCTGCTCCTACTCTTTTGCCATGTTTTGTTTTATTATTTTATCAATTCATGAATATGGACACACATATCTAAACTTAGACAAACTCCTCCCAATTATGTACTTGCAAGGTTGTGTTGTAAATAGTGCCAGCAGAATCTTCTTATGTCTACATTGGCACAGAGCATAAGTATTTTCCCACCCACTGGAAGGTAACTGGTTCCAGTAATAGTGGTCTTTAAATGCCTCACATTGCCCCCTCCAGATAAAGTGAAAACTGATTGAAATAAAGGAAAAACTGAAAAAGGTTGCTCCTACTCATTGGTTTCAGAGTGTTGAAAGCTTAGGACTGTTACCATAGCAATTGTCAATGTGAAACAAAATATATTATATCTTTTGAAAGGTAAACTGTTCTCATGAAAAAGAAAAAAATGTCTTTAAACAAACTTCTCCCAGTTATGTATTTGCAAGGTTGCATAGTTAGTAAACAAAAGTAATTACTGTTAAGTATTATTCACATTTACATCTGGTCTAATAGTCCCCAAACACATACACACTGTTTGATACTCACAGGTTGCTGTAGGACATGTGGGTGCGCTCCCAGATTGGGGTCCAGCAGGCTTTCAGGGTCATACCGGAGGGCGTCGTGTCTGATGAGGGTGGGGTGAAGGGACTGGACACTCTGTAACTCTGTGAAATTGGTCTCTGGGAGAGTTTCAAACTCCACTGAATGAACTGGAGGGTGAGTGTGGTACTCCCAGTGATCTGCACACAAAACAACAATACACTTTTGTCGATTGTCTGAACCTAGAAATGAGACCCACTGAGGCACAGACAAGGTCGGGCAGCAGCGTAGTGTACAGACTATTTTGGATTTTCTCTATTTTACTGTGGCCATCTAATAATTCATGATGTAAGGCCTGCACACAAACTTTCAGACAACATCCAATTTACAAAAATATCACCAAACTAGTTACAATTATTCATAAGTATTGACACTATAACCAAACTGCAGTCAAATTCTTACTTATTCACATTTGTTCACATCAGATTTTCTCTTTGCTTGAAGTGTTAAAATAATGCTTTCTGTGTATTTTTGCGCAGTAGATTGACCAGAACAAAATATTGGACAATACTGGAGATTTAAGACTGATAGCCGATATGCTAAAAAGTCCAAATGTCAACCTAAAACAGACGCTCCACGTTTAGGTTTACTATTTTGGAATATAAATTGAATTGAATGTACTTCCCTACTATTGACTAATGCCATAAACATACTATACAATGACAGCAAAACTTCACTTCTATTTATGAAAAATACAAGGCTGTTGACTAAAACAAAACTTATAAAATGTAGATTTACATAAATAATCACGTTGAATAATCTGTTAACATGTGTTTAGGGCATCCGTGTTACGGGACATGTGCCTGCCTGGTCACCACATAACAGCACTGAGCTCAGCAGAAAGCTCTTTCCTGTTTGTTTCCACATTCTCATCACTGCGGCTTTTTCCAAATGTGTCATAACTTATTTGTAAAAGAAATATGAATTCTATTATTATTTTACTTTTTATTTTAAAGGTGCACTGTGTAACTTCTTGTGGGGAGTCCTCCACCTGCTTGACTGTATGGATACTTATATATATATATACTTTTGCCTGGAAAATTCCACAGTATAGCATTCAACGTTTGCATTTGTTCAATCCCAAGTGTATTTATTGTCAAACAAAAATAATACATTAGTTTAAAAAAAATATTCTTACTGTGAGCAAATTTACCTCTCCACAGATCTGACCTGTAACTTGGCCTGATAGTGCAATTTGCTTGTCTTTATAGAGATACATACATTTAATGCCATACTGTGTGACATTACAGGCAAAGCAATAACATCTCTATGCTGGTGGGAGACCCTTTACCAGAAAAGTTACTTAGTGCACTTTTAATTAGATCCATAGTAATTGTCATTTGAGTCAGCATTGTTAACTCATATTTTTGTATGTTTTTGTACATTAATTTATAGAACAAGACAGACTTCTCAAAATGCTATTCTAGCTAACGTCAAAACAAGGACTATACAAAATTTGAATGTTCCATTGAAGTTTATTAATACAAAAAGCCGTTGATTAATAGAGAAAGTAAAGCACCGATCTTGTGTCAAAATAAACCCTTGGGGAGAGATGTCTTAAATGTGTCTAGGGCGAAACAAATGGCATCTGTTTCCTGTGCTCCCGTGTGTGGTTCAGCTGCGTGCATTTTAATATCGAAAAGACACTGTCACAATCAACCCACAATTTATTTAAAGACCAAAATCAGCCTTGAGCTTTTAGACCAGTAACCAGCCTCAATATTGAAATAGCAAGTCTCACCACATATTCTTATCTTTTGAAAAATTGACAGTGAATCTATAAAAAATATGTTTAAAATGATGCATAATTGAGTAAAAACATTGTAACTCACCTGAAGGGATGTCTGAATCCAGCACATATGGATTGTAATATTCTGCCATTTGATGTCTGTAGATCTCTGGGTCGTACATTTCTTCGGAGGGCTAAAAAACAGCAGATTTGCATGTTAATCTTTCAACTAAATCACAATAATCAAGCAATAACACTATATAAATATAACTATATGTTTATTCTCTTCATTTATTTTTGTTAAAAAAATAAATAAAACTTTGTAATCTTTCATGTATAAAAAGTTGTGCCGATTACCATTTTTGGGGTTGACAGTTTTGAAACCTAAACTCTGTAGTACTTTGAGTTTCAATTTCATGTTTCCCCTGGTTCAATAGTATATAAAGAAATTTTTACCAGAGGTGAAGTCACAAGAAGATTTTGTATCCAAATAGATACATAACATCATGACAGTTTTAAGACTAGAGGTGTGAAATTGTTAAGCATAAAAGTTCAAGTTTTAACAGACATAATTCGAATTTGAGAGCTGTATAATTTTTAGATTTTAGTAAAATTTTAAATTGTACTTACAGGGGGGATGAGGTAGCTCTCCATTCTGTACGGATGCAACATGGAGACCTGAGTTGTCCAACGACCCGACTCACAAGATGCAGGCAAAATGCTCACAATCTTTCAAAACTTTTGTGGCACCATTGCACAATATTTCAAAATTTCCTCTCAGTCAATGCAAAACCAAAAGTTGTTTCTGCCTGGATCTACAGTATTGACTTGTATATCTTGAACTCAGAGGCCTATAGATGCATTTAAACCAAAAGAAAGAACCACGGGCCAAAGCTGGACTGGCAAACGAACAGGGAACCTATGACTTGTGTAAATGCGTGTGGGTGGGAGCATTGGAGTGCATCTGCTACAGGCTTTTGGTCATTGATGAAACTTTTATCAGGGTCTTAATGCTGTGCCCTCCTCAAACAGCCAATCACAGCTGAGCATAGCAATCCCCCCTTAATATGGTGTACAAGAGGGGGCAATTAATCAAGAAAAAGTTTCAGAAAGAGTTTCTGTCATTTTTCATTTATAGTTACAGTCCTCTTATAGAATATTTTTTCCAAAAAGTTGCTATTTTAAAATTCAATTCTTGGGAACAAAACAAAAAATATGAAATGTTATTGATGAATTTATTTAAAAGTATAGCAATTATTATGAACATTTTAATTATCACTAAAGTATTATTTATTTATTTTGCATATTTGGAAATTATTACCATGGCAAAAAAAATATTCATCTGGGATCCACAGTTTTTGTGGTTTGCCAAATAACTTGGTTAAAAGAAAGTGTAAACTTTTTTTTCTTGCTCTAAAACACACATACATGCACTTGGACCAGTGGTGGAAGAAGTACTCAATTTGGTTACTTAAGCACTTATACTTACTTACTTATTATAATATATATATTAAAGTAAAAGTATCAAATGAAAAAAAGTACAAAAAGTTTACATTTTAATTATTTCGCATAGATTTTGAGATTTAATAAAGCTTCATATGTCATGATTTTGTTCAACAGAAACAACACAATAGCTAGAGTTAGAATAGAAGAGTTCTCTCTGATCAAACTATGAACATGATAACAATAAACCCTCAGCCTTTTCAGCATGTCTCAGAAAAAAAACAAAAAAAACTTTCACTTTTCAGTCCAGCTCAAAAATGCAGTGGAGTAGAAAGTACTGATGCTTGCTCTCAAATGTTGGAAAGTAAAAGTGTCCATTTTAAAATCTTAAGTAAAGCATAGATATTTAAAATATATACTACTTTTAGTTTGTTATGTTCCACCACTGACTTGGACATTGTGAAGAATTTCTTTAAAAATGCCCTATCCCAGCATTGGATCAATGTACTTTCCATGGTCTTTTTATGCCTTCCTATTGTAATCATAATGACTTAACAAAACTGTTGAGTTTCAGCTAAAGGTACTGTAAGAGTGACTCACAGCTGTATGATAAGATGGTGATCCCTGTATCTGTGTTTTCTGATCAGCGTGATAGGGTGATCTTGGTTATCAAACAGAAGATACTGATGCAGCAGCAGCAGCAACAGCAGCATCTCTATGGGCCCATGATAATGCATGTGTGTGTGTTGGGCAAAGCTGTTTGTCTAATGTAGTTACTCAATGCAATTATCAGAGAAGGATGCATCATCACAACTAGGGATGTGAGGATTATTTGGTTTACTAATAATAATCATAATAATTGTGCCCAATTTATAAGCAAAAATAAGTATTTTCAGTTCAATAGTGATTTACCAAAAAATAAACCTAAGTGTAAAGTGCTTTTTGTTTGACTGCTTATGTGTTATTAAAGGGCTCATATATTTCTCTATTTTCTAATCTATGTTATAATATTGTGTTTTGTTTCATTCACACGTTTAATACACAAACCCTGCATGTTATGCTGAGTTATTCACTCAAACAGAAAACACTCTGTTCCACCTTGTGATGTCAAACACAGGATCCACTGTGTTTTTAAACTCCATACACCTTCATTAGAATAATTTAGATAATTTCGGTCCTGAAATTGCCAATGTCTACTGAATAAAAGGTAAAAGCTGTTCACTTGAAAACTACCGATTGACATCATTAGATGGAGCAGAGCATTTTGAGCTTTGGAGATGTCGACAGACTAATAATAAAGGGTTCCTCAAACATGTGTGAATGAGACGAAACACAACTCACACAACTTCTATGAAGTAACAGCATGATAACATGGTTTAAAGCTTGCATGAGTCAATTTTGCTTAATTTAGTAACTTTAACTTCATCATTCAGAAAGTTTAATTTCATGAAGCTAAGCATATAGATGAATGTCACTGTTGAATTACACTGTTGTTTGGTCTTCTCACAGTAATTATAACAGAATATGTTATATACTACCACTAATAATCAGCGTTATGACTTAGGGAAGATGGCTAACACTCTCACAACTTTTTCTGAATAGTCTTGTTGGGTTTCCTCTGGTCACTCCGGGTTCCTCCATCAACCAAAACATGCAGAATAGATCAAATCCTCCAGCTCAGACAGTTATGACCAAGCCTAGCTTAAGTTCTGGAGATGGGCTACAGGGAGCGGTGTCACTGAAGGATGGGTCTAAATTCCATACGGGGATAATAATGTATATTTTAATTTTATTCTGCTGTGAAACTGAGCTGCTGGGGTGTCACAGAAAGAAGAAAACAATACATAAAGTAACAGTATAAATATGTATGTGAAACATTGTAGACCAGACTAACAAATGCTGTGCTTCAGTTAGTGATGTCTGAAAGTATATTCTTATAACTGCTCTGTGCTATAATAACAACAACAATATTTAACATAATTAGCATTGCCTGTCTTAAGAGGAAGCCTGCAGCTTGGTGATAAGAGCAGTTCTAAAAATCAAAATACACTTTTTATATTTACCCTTCATCTGCACTTCTTTTTGTTTTGGTCAGTACCTTTTTTCTGACTTGTACTCAGACAACTGTTATTCCTCCCAGGATATTGATAATTCCTATTCTTTTGGGATAGTAGACCATTTGAGGTGCACCTATTATATTAGTAATAGGTATTTATGTAATTATTCTTATTTGGAAAATTCTTTAACCACTAAGACTGTGGTCAGCTAAAGACATGCCCTGTGCTTTGATTAGTTGACTAAAGTGGCCTGAAAACTTGGGTATCTCTCTCATGTGACCATGTTTGATTCTGACTCTAACTGCACAGTAGGTAAAATGGTAGATTAAACTCACCATTCACTTCCAAACTCATCCCATGCCTGCTCTTCTGTGCTGTGGCATGTATTTAATTATTTAAAAGTCCTCTATTACACTAATTGACTCTTGTGAGCTTTCAACCATGTCATAATACTGTTACCACATAAAAACACAAAAACAACAGTTGTGTTTTGTTTCAACAACTAAAGCTATAGAAAACAATCTCCCTGCAAATTATTGGTCTGTAATGAAGACTATTAAAGGACAGTGATGGTCAAGAAACCAAACAAGTGCCAGTAAAGTTATGTATCTGGTGGTCTAATATTTTTAACATCTTTGATTGTGTAACTGTCCTGTTTCTGCCACAGTAGACAAGAAATTCTAAAGTGAAACAGTCCAAATACTGTGACCTATTGACGATAAGGGGAAGTGACAACCTGCCTTTCAGATTCAGTTCCCTGAAGTTGGACTGAAATGGATGTCTTACTTAAGGTCTGGACTCAAGGCCTTGCATGGAGTCTGCTGATAAGGAAAATAAAAACTGAAATATGTAGATAGTAGCTTTGGCTTTATCTATTGCCAGCTTTGTTCAGATTTAATTTTTTCTTGTTACTTGTATGCTGTCTTCAATAGTTTTCCAGTAGTTTTGAGCATGAATTTTTGCAATATGTAGTCACGTAAAGATTGTATGCATGTTTTTTTTTTCTTTTAATAACGATTACTTTTTTGCATCAAGACAAGGTTTATAAGATAACCTGACCGTGGGGCTAGTTTAACAAGCATTTGCACCATTTGCAGTTTAAGTAATCCATGATTTTCAAAGTGATGAAAAATTGTGTCTGTTGGCATAGTAATTAACAATTCTAAAAATATTTTACCTTCTGTATGGTTAAAAGTCCTCAAAATGGCATGCATAATCACACCATTCAAACCCATTATAAAATTGGCAATACCACTTTTTACACAAATATAGATTAAAGCCACTAACAAAATAACAAATTATGGGCTGTTTAAGGCCCATCTGACAGAAGTCCATACAATATCAAAAACTGAAAAAAAAAAAAAATTATCACAAGACATTTGCTGTTTAAATTAGCTCTTTAACTCAAACTAAAACCAAACCATATTGTGAAAACTGCTTGTAGCCTACACAAACTCACATGCAGTCTGCAAACAGTTGCATTGCACCATCATAAAAATAACTCCATTACCAAAGATCACATGGGTTTTCCAGATGTTAAATTTATCACATGTCAGTCATGTTGCAGTGATATTGTAGGATTCTTTTGATCGCTACTAAATACAAACATTTCTTGGCGTCTAAACTGTTTTATAACTAATAATCTGCTTGTTATTACAGTAAAGGTTGGTGCAGGTATTAAAGCAAAGGCTTGAAAACTTAAAAAATGAATTACTATTACTAACTTTTCTGGGGCTTCGATCCACCACCTGCTTGCCTCTATGGAGGTGATGTAATTGCTCCACAATATGGTATGAAATGTGTCGTGGGGAAAATCTGGAAAGTCGCATCTAAAAATCTTGGGTTGTCTTAGATCTTAGGTCTTAGAGTGAGACCAGTATAAAGATTAAACTTAGAACCTTTTGACAATCAAAGACGAGCCGTGATTGATATTAAGCCTGTCTGATATTTTGGAATCTTTGTTGCAGAGTGAGTCCTCCTCTCGTTGCATCTATGATCAATCTTTGTAATCAACAATAAACACAAGCACTCCTCACAAGAGCTCCAGACCATTTCTCTCTGGTTCTCTTTCATTTACTCACTTTTATACATTCAAAAACACCACTTGCACGTTACACTGGCCTCAGCTAACCTGTACAACACAGAGAAGTTAGTACACAGAGCCTAGCGTCTGATTCTTTCGTCATAGCCACAACTGATCAAGTGCACCATCACAGCGTGTCTTTGTGTTTCCTTACGAATTGAATTCTTCACATCATGTAGTGGGACATCCAACAATCTCATAAGAATGCATGCATTTTTATCAATTTGAGCAATAGATACACCTGTAAATTACAAAAAACAAATACAAAAATAAGTTTAATGCCATGCCATGCAACATTCGAGGCAAAGCAACAACATCATCTCCACAGAGACAAGCAGGTGGCAGACTTCCACTGAAAAAGTTACAAACAGTAGTTCACCTTTAAACCTTAGTTGTTAGGTAACTATTTGGATTTTAAAGCATAACAATATTTTCATCATAAATTCTGCATTAACAACTGTACCCAGCACCGGAAAGTTAAAGTGTTAAGTAAAATAAATATAAAAGTTTATTATTAAGTGTTCTTGTGAAGTGACATATGTGTAACATGCAAACGCTGTGACCAGTGGCTGTTTTTGGGTTTGTTCTACCACAGGGTGTAACTGCTTTTGACAGTTTTGGGTCTGAACGCAGTCACACGATCAGTATCTGTGAAGTTATTAGCCAATACACACATTTACAGTGTCAACCTCTGGCCTCCAAGCCTTCAGCCTCCTAGCACCCACAGGCGTCAATGTTCTCAACACTTTAGCTTTTATTTTAACAACTGGCTAATATGTTTACTGGTGTTTGAAACCAGGCTGCACGATTCACCACAATCAAATAGAAACTGCAGTTTGAATGGAAGCAATAAATTAATCAAAGCACCACAATTTCCTCCACAAACTGCATACAAACTTTAACCCTGTAGTTTAGATCAGTATAAACAAAGAAATTCTGAAATGTGATTCTTGTGTTATTGCCACTTCTTATTTTGTCTTTTTGTTAATTCTTCTATTATTGAAACTGCATTGAACTCAGCCCTAGATTGGAAGCAGTGTTACAGCACCACATATACCACTTATGTTATTTCCCCCATATGCTGTGCTACTTGTCTTGGCTGTTTTTCCTACTATATTATATTTGCTGACTTATTTCCAGACTACGGAGTGTCCCTATGTCTGGTGTTGCCGTGGTGACAGCTCAGGGTCACGAGACGGTGCCCACGCGGCTCTGAGGAGGGGACTGTCACGCATGACCACTGACTGTGGAAAACAGGATACAGGCTACGCTGCAACAGGAAGTCTTGCACTCATCCTCTGCACAACATCAGTTTGACCAGAGTGACGATGTCCACACTCTGAAACTCCCGCGGCAACGCACACATTTCAACATCATTAGCACTGAAAACGTCTCATGAGGTGGTTGAGTAACTTGGATTAAGAATTTATGAATAAAAACTAAGTGTGAAATTCACAAATGATGTATCCCTTACAGTTAGAAATTACATTATCTCTTTAGCAATTCTCATGAATGTTGTCATATTATAAAAATATATTTTAATCTTTTTAAGATAAAATAGTAAAATGTATTTCTAATCTGTTTCCTTAGTTTATTAAATGGCCAACAAACATTCTGCCATTGCTTCAATACAACAACTAACAAATACCAGTTACACAACTTTTAAGATGTGAATGTAAATATCTATCAATATCTGTTTTTTGTTTTTTTTAAATGAATGTATTTAAGATTAACCTACTAGTAAGCAACCTAATCATAAACTACTTAACTTAACACAGCATCTCATGTTTAGAGTCAGTGGAAAGAGGGAACCGCCCCCTGTCACAACACAGTTAAAAAGCTTTGGTCCTACCGTCTCGATGTGCCAGAGAAGAACAGATGAGACATCCACAAGGAGCTGTTGTTCTACTCAAAGACAATTGTCAAAGGTGGTTGAAAAATTCAGGCTTTGTATGTATCTCTGAATTAACAGGGGAACTAAAAACTTCCTTAATTCTACCAATTTAGGCTGGTGCCATAAGGCTTCTTCTCCTTCTTCTCCTTCCCCATTAAAACAAGAAGGTGACCAAAACTTCCTATTTGAAGAGTTTTCTGCACTGCAATGAGGCTTCTATATTAGAGAGCAATCCATTTGAAACAATATGCAAAATTATGTAAGTTTAAGGTAATATTTTAATTTTATAAATGTCCAAAACAAAAAAGAACAGTTGGACCTGGTTGTTTAGTATATTAATGTCATTACATTTGCGGTTTTCTGAAAAACAAGATCATTTTGGTTGTAACATTGATTTCAAATGTATCTTTGTTTTTAACTAGAGGTTCAATTTATTCTATGTCTATCATTCAACAACAGATACTGAAATACTGTGTGCGTGGTCAAACTCTGGGCCCATGGTTCCTGAGGTTTTAGTGGTGATCTTGTGTTTCACAATGACGTTCAGCCAACACTCACACGAGACTGAGGGGACATTCACCTCTCTCACTTCTTATTCCTGATTCCTCATTTTCTCTGTCAAACTTTGGACTCCTTCAATCAAGCAATTTAAAAAGTACTTACAAACATTAAAAGTATGTTCTTGCCATGAAGGTTTATTTGAAACAAATAAGCATGATGTATAATAAATGTTTATTTGTGAAAATACATTATCTGCCAACCATATAAGGTCTCCTATATCCCACTAAAGAGCTTTGTTCCTCTTTTAGTGTATTGCTCAAGTGAGGCAAGGATGAGTCAGTGCAAAACTGAATCATGTTTTTGTAGTTATCTCTGTTCACATCTACACTTGTCATAACCACGACACAATTATTTTAGATGTGTAAAATTTGATATGGTTTTTAACATGCAGGCAAACTATCATTATAAAAACAATACACTGTAAAAGGTTTGATTCTAATGTGGAAAAAGCTAAATAAGCTATCCTAAATTGAAACTCACTGGTCTTTTCTTTCTCATGTGTCTGTGAATTGAAGCGCTGCAACATGCACCACCTGGTGGTGAGGCAAATACTTCAGCTTTAAAAGTTTGACATAAGCCTGATAAACCTTCATGTAAAAACACACATGTACAATTCCACAGTCAGGGGTCATAAAAATAAAAACTAAAAGACTCAAATTGGTATTCTCTGATTTAATTAAAGTTCTTTTGTTTGTTTTGGGTGTCAAATGTGTGTATATTAACTTAGTAACTAATAAGCTGGTGGTCAAAATTAAGTTATTCAAACATTTGCATCAGCAGGTAAAGTCTTATTGAATTGAATGATCATTTTGATCACATTTGGCAAATGTATCTTTAGTGGTGGTAGAGCCTGCGGACACATCAGCATTTTGTAGCTTAATCACAATCACAGTAAACAGTTCACATGTGAGTTTGGCCATGCTGAACTCTGCTCCAAACCACTTTGACTGAGTTGGACTGACTGTGGACCTTTGGATTAAACTGATTCGAGCAAATCAGTGACAATTACTTGATTCAAATTTGATTACGTGTACAGCTCTAATTACTTCTATGTACATTTTGAAACTACAGTATGTGTATAGAACTCTTATAGCTTAGTAGCCTAGATGTTGTTAAACTGAGGGGACGGGGGTATTTAAACAGGCTGTGTGACCAACTGGTGATCCCTGGGTAACTCAGCTGGGCGCTCAGTTCAGCCTAGAGTGAAAAGGGGGACATGGTGTTGAATGAATGTTTAAACTGTCAACTGTAACACAGAGAGAGATTGGATGACCAAAAAAATGACATAATTCAAAATAAATATGAATTAATATTGGAATATATTAAATAATTGTTTTTATATTATTTGGTTTGTTTATTTATGAGATGGGGACAGTGCACAATATACATTCATCTTAACAGGAGAGATGCATTGTGCCAGTTTGTAGCACGAGAGCTCATTTCCACCTGTAAGTCCCCGGGGCATGTTTTTTAGGTTTGGACATTGAACTCTCCTACCTCCTGTTTATGTGCAGCTGCTTCTATTTGCGACTCTACTACTACTTCAGTTAGCCTACTACCAGTGTTGGGAAGGTTACTTTTAAAATGTATTCCCCTACAGATTACAGATTACATACCCCAAAATGTAGTTTGTAACGTAATCCATTAAATTACTTAAAGTGAGTAACGTAATCTGAATACTTTGGATTACTTGTATTGTCATGTTTTTTTAAAACAACATGAATGTACCAACTCTGTTGAGCCCAAGTCTCCATGAACAGACAACTGTTTGCTGTAGAGAAGCAAAGACCAGGAAATCTTAACATGAGATATTTGTTTTGTCTGTTTAAAGAAAATAAAAAGCCCAGACTTTACTTAAACATATTAAAAATTTTATTGATAGAGAAATTATTTCTATATGAAACCACTGCTGCTTTAAATGATGTTCACTCTACTGTTAGTGTCATATTGTTCAGTCCTGGTTTAGTCCTGGTTTATTCCTGGTTTTAGTCCTAGTTTAGTCCTGGTTTAGTCCTTGTTTTAGACCTGGTTTAGTCCTGGTTTAGTCCAGGTTTAGTCCTGGTTTAGTCCTGGTTTTAGACCTGGTTTAGTCCTAGTTTAGTTCTGGTTTAGTCCTATTTTAGTCCTGGTTTTAGGCCTGGTTCAGTCCTGGTTTAGTCCTGGTTTTAGACCTGGTTTATTCCTGGTTTAGTAGTGCTTTAGTCCTGGTTTAGTCCTGGTTTTAGACCTGGTTCACTCTTGGTTTAGTCCTGGTTTAGTCCTGGTTTTAGACCTGGTTTATTCCTGGTTTGGTCCTGTTTTAGTCCTGGTTTAGTCCTGGTTTATTCCTGGTTTTAGTCCTAGTTTAGTCCTGGTTTAGTCCTAGTTTAGTCCTGGAATTAAACCTGGTTTAGTCCTAGTTTAGACCTGGTTTAGTCCTGGTTTATTCCTGGTTTTAGTCCTAGTTTAGTCCTGGTTTAGACCTGGTTTAGTCCTGTTTTAATCCTGGTTTAGTCCTGTTTTAGTCCTGGTTTATTCCTGGTTTTAGTCCTAGTTTAATCCTGGTTTTAGACCTGGTTTAGTCCTGGTTTAGTCCTGGTTTAGTCCTGGTTTAGTCCTGGTTTAGCCCAAAATGTGAAAACAGGAAAATACCACTGTGTAATCCATTTATTTCAACAAAGTAACTGTAATCCAATTACCACTCACTGAAACAGTAACTGTAACTGAATACAGTTACTCATAAATTGTACTCTGATTACGTAATCCCTATACATGTAATCCGTTACTCCCCAACACTGCCTACTACTACTATTGCTACTACTTTCACTATTACTATTACTACGTAATTTTTTGAGCCTACATAATTTACAACTGAAAACCAGCGAGAAAACAATATTATTTTTTCTATTTAAGCTTCACTTTTCATGGAATATGTGGGATCAATGAAAAGGTGGGACATTATAGGGATTATAGGGATAGATAGGAGGCCTAAACTGATTAAGACCTAAAGGCTTCACATTCCGCACATATCCTCAGCGCAGTACTCTGACTGCCTCTACAATGTACTTCTGTATTAAAGCCCTGCACTTGTGTGAAGTTCCCATTAAGTTTCCCAGACGTCGCACCATAGACTGAATAATGCGTCTCACACTAGATTACACTAAACTAAGGTTAGACTCACTTGAATACAAACTGTGATACTGGAACAGCATCTGCTTGCTGCTTTTTCTAGAAAGTGCCACTTCCTGGGGCTTGTGGGGCGGGCTCTGGCTCTCCTGTTTTGGTTTTCCTCCATGATCCTGATACGTGGCTGTTTGGGAAAGCCCTGTCTGCAGCTGTGATTCTTGCGGAGGCTGGGACCCTGCACAAACTCAGCCTCGTTTCATCATCAGGCCTGGATGGCAGGGACACACTGGTGCAGGGATAGTCGAAAACACAAGGTAATTGCACATTTGACTGTTAGTAACGTTTCAGTTTTATTTTATTTTTTGTAACAGAGCAGCTGTAAGTGTTAGCATTGCGGCGTATTTACTCAAGTGAGCTTTTAGCTAGTCTGCCGTGATTACGTGCTAACGTTAGCCATGCGTGCCTACGTGCACACACGGGCTAACAGTCGCTGCTAACTTTGTTAATGTCATGTGGAAATGTGGAAACGAGTGTAATTTTGCGAAAATGCGTTTATAAATCTCACATGGAAACTATTCCACGTTTTTGTCGTTATTACGTAATTGGCGTGCGTGCGTTTTCCTCTGATTTCTTTGGCAAAATTAACTCCAAATTGTCTCTCTCCGTGATGAAAAATCTTTCCATGAAGTGGTTTCTAAGGTGCACTGGGCAACTTTTCTGTTGGGGTTACGGGGGCCCGGGGTTACGCTATCCTGCTTGTATCCATTGATGTCATTGCTTGCCTGGAATGCTCCGTGGTATGGCATTAAACTTATTCATCTTGCGTATTCAATTACAGATGTTTTTATTGTAAAAAAAAAAAAAAAAAAAAAAGGGAAAAATCATTCTTACTGCAAGTCTTACTTGGCTTGTCTGAACTTCACCATCTGCTTGTCTCCAAGAGAAGGCTACTGTGGAACATTCCAGGCAAAGCAATAACATCCCCATGGAGACAGGTGACGGGCTGATAAAATGTGGAGCTTTCCTGTAGCATATCTGAAAACCGCCTAAAAGGCTACACCATCTATAACTAAGTGTTAGGGTTAGGCTACTTATTCATGATATCCTCTAGCCTCGTTTGTCTCTCTAGCCTATTGTACTGACCACCATAGATTATAACAAAGCCTATCCTAGGAGCAGTCTTCAAATAATTGAAATTTTAAACAAAAGACTGTAGTTTTTCCACAAAGAAGTGTTTGTTTGATGTGAAAGATATCAACACAATTAATTACACTGTATAAATAGGTTGCAATAGAATGCAATAGTTTAGAATATTGTTACAGAAGGAAGCACATGTAAAGTTTTATTCAAAGTCAAAACAGTGAATACTGACCGGTCTGTTCATTTTCCAAACAGCATTACAGGTTGCTAGTGCATTTCGGGCCATGGGCTGGATGAAAGACAAAAGCAGTAGTAAGCCCAGCTGGGCCCTGGCTGTGTTGTTGGTCCCTGTGTTGTTGCTGACAGTGACCTCCAGGGGGGCATCCAGCAGTCAGAGGATGATTCAAACAGTGATGGCTCAAGCCACAGCCACAGCGGCAGGACCTAGCTCCTCAGACTTGCTCCAGGGTCTGCACCAAGGCCTGCAGGCTGCAGCCCACTTCCTCTGCTCCGAAGAGGCACATGTTCTGCTCCTGGCTCTGCTCGGCTCCATCGCTGTCGGCCTCAGTGGGATCTTTCCATTGCTTATTATTCCCATCGAGGCAGGTGTAGCCCTCAAAACTGAAGGTAAAAACAGCATAACGCAAATATTGTAGAGGAGAGTATGTACAGTATAGCTGTGATTTATTGATTATTGTCTGCTTGTTGCAGCTGGGTCACAGAGACTGAAGCAGCTCTTGAGCTTTGCCATTGGTGGTCTTCTTGGAGATGTTTTTCTTCATCTTCTGCCTGAGGCCTGGGCGCTGTCTTGCTCCTCTGGTATAGATTTGAGCTTTTCAGCTTTTGACTGATGACCTAAATTACCTTTAATAAAAATAAAATAACCTTTAATTGGCTGGGTTTTTTATGTGTTTTACATTTTATAATTATAATATCAAACCCATATTTCTGAGTATGCTTGTCTACATGAATGTTTTAGACAGGTTTTCTGTGATTGCAGTGTCCACTTCTCCCTCTTGACATCTCTTCTTTGCTCTTGCAGTGGGTAAACAAAACCACTACACAAACCAGGGCTTGTGGGTAATTAGTGGTTTGCTGGCCTTTTTACTGTTGGAGAAGATGTTTCCAGATGAGGACCGGCTACGAAGGTGCCACGACTCAATCCGATTTGAATTTCAACTCTGTAAGTGTTGAAATTTCTTTTTGTTTAATAGGGAGAGGTCACTTGAGTCCTGGGGCATTGACAAGTTAACACTTGTCTCAACATAGTTCAACTTTAACTGTGCATCTCAGACGTTGTGCTTTTCTGTTAATTACCAAATTTACATACAGTTTAGTGTGACCTCAAATATGTAAATGTTGTAAATACTATATGAATGATTTAGTGCCAAAGTTAATAAAAAAAATATATATATATTAAAAACATTAATTAGAAACTCAGTAAATGTAACTATCATTGGTAATGTCTTATAATGGCATGTTATTTTTATAGTCTCTTTCCTTCCTCTGAGGAATCCACCTCTCAGCTCCTCCACTGCGTCACTATTTTTAGTCTCTGAGTAAAGCAGCAGCTTTGGCCTGCTCACTCTGAGTGTCGCTGGAGAAGTACTATTATGAACTCTAAACTGTAGACAGAAATTGGCTATATTGTGTTTATAATTGAATAAAATGTACTATGAATGTATATTTACTCTTGTCTACCAGGGATAGGTGATATATTGGTATCAGTCGATACTGATACAAATTCATCTGTATCGGGCATATTTAAATATTCAGTACCGATGATTTTTTGTACTGCCTTAGTCTCTGAGAGCCCTTTTTGGACAGGCTAATCAGTTAAAAAGGAAATAGTAAAGTATCATATGGCGCTCACCTTATCTCCTCCTGATATATTTGTGGGTCTTGCTACAGATTTTAAATGCAAAATATCGGTATCAACAAATATTGGATATTGGCATTGGCTCAAAAAAAAAAAAAATCCTTATCAGCCCATCCTTATTGGCTCATTATTTGTATCAATATCACTGTTTGAAATACCTAAGCAAAGTGAGCCATGAGGTTCAAGCCCTGATGCTAAATGGGACAAGCCGTATACGATATTACTACTATGTGACCTACTGCACTTTTACAAATTTATAACGGTTTTGTTCACCTTTTACAAATTGTATCAACATTTCTTCTTGGTGTGTTGCCTTGTGCTCATTGGGATATTCAGTCAGCTTGTTTCCCTGTGTTTTATTCACAGAGGCAGTCTATTTCAGTTTTCAGTGGAAAGACAGAAGTGTCACTCCAAAACGGGCACCACACTGAGTCATGGAAATCTTCTAAGCAACTGAGTCTGCAGCAAACGCCTCAGAAAATCAAGGTATGTCCAGAACTTTTTGGATTTAACAAAAGTGACAGTGGAGGGAAAACGCTTTTCAGTGTGGGCTGGTTATGATTCATTTTAATGTATAACCCACAAGAAGCTTCTACACATTTAATTCACAGTAAATTGGAATTTCCAGACTAATTTCAGACTTTCCAGCAATGTCTGAGAATATGTTTTCTTATATTCTTGAAGTTGATTAATGCTTGACATGAAAATGAACAATATGCTTGATATTGAATTGTGCCCAAGAAAACGAAATGACTTAGAAGTTGTTTACAAAATCATCTGCATCTCGCTTTCTCTACAAACCTACAAGAGAAGTGTTTTGTACAATGCCTTTCTGATTGAAATGTTCAGCTAAAGACTTCTGTGTATCCTCTACTCAATAATTCTAGTATTGGCCCAGATGGCGCTTTAAGGCAGATAGTCGATGCACTAAAAACAAATGTATATTTTTCATTCTGTGTTACAGACAAGTGGGTATTTAAACCTGTTGGCAAACTGTATAGACAACTTCACTCATGGGCTGGCAGTGGGAGGAAGCTTCCTGGTTAGCAAAAAGGTAAGAAAATGATTGAAAACATTTCCATGGTCTATCATTTCATTTTGCCTGTGTATTGATTACAGTAGACTGAGTAGGCTCCTACAGTAAACTAGCTGTGTTTGATAACAGGCTCCTAGTCATGTGTTTGACCTTACACTGCTCTAATTCTATTTATGCAGAGATTAAATCATTGAGGCAGGGCATCCATGTGTAAGATGGAAACGTGCACAAGTAACACCTCCCGTGTGAGAGTTTGGCAGCACATTCAGAGCATTTGGCAGAGTGAAATAGACCAGTTGTATTTGTATTTTTAGCCTCCGGATACAGCCATTTATAATTAGGTACCTAACACGCTTCATTTGAATATTCTTATTGATGAATAAATCATCCTTAGCATTTTAAATACATTCCTTCAAATATGCAAACAGTGGTAAAAAGTGCAGAGTAATGCTGTACTTCGGAGGATTGCTGTTTTGTGGTGGTGTGGCCAACAAGAGTCCAGCTGGAGAGACATAAGGCTAGCAGCGTGAAGTGTGTGCCCACGTGCCAGAGAGGAAGTTATCTACGCACATGTCTATAACTAATGTACAAGACCTCACACCAGCCTTTCATGTTTTGCTGCTCCTATTGAAGCACAAGCAGTCAACTACTGAAGGTTTCGCACCAACGCCACATAAAATGAGTGGGTCCCGTCATGTTAAATTTCAAAACTGGCCTCTCACAGCGTCTTCATCAGGGCTTTTGTGAATGGACGACAGCTGTGGCAATTCAACAACTGAATTGAAAATCAGACGCTGGAGTAAACATGCCAAAATTGAAAAATAAAAACACTTCGATTTCATTTCAGCTATTCGTCAATGTAAATATCTACTTGTATACTATATAACTATATAAGGAATACATGGCAGCGGGTTAACAAAGTATTTCAGACTGTAGTGTAGTGCTTATAGACTGCTTATTTATAGAAGTCAGAAAATGAAGGTTTTGAAATAAGTTAGACTTTAATTTACTGTTTTGTGTTGCAGTATATCGAAGCAGGATATATGGACTGTATTGGATGAGTGCAGTTTATAATGAGACTGAACAATTTGGGACATAAAAAAGTACAAGCATTGCGAGTTTGATTCGATTTTGCAATTTATGGTTCAGTAAGAGGAATAGGAAAGTAATAGAAGAATGGCCCTTTAAAAAATTGCAGTCTTTGTGATTTGCTAATTGCGTGCATTGAAATTGCACTTTCTATTTAAGTTGTGATTAATGTTGCAGTCCTAGCTTATGACTTGGGTCTCTTGTTTACTGCAGTATTGAAAGCATGTTGTTGAGAGTCTCATTCACTCCCTGTTTAACACAGTTTGCTCTTTGCATACATTTTCATTTTAATGATGCTTTTGCAGGTTGGCCTCCTTACCACCTTTGCCATCCTGCTCCATGAAATCCCCCATGAGGTAAGACCGGCAAACGTTATATTACATTTCTGTGTTTTCATCTGTCTTTAGTGTTGACATCGTTTGACTGGGAGTAACAGTTAGTGCGTGTTGACGGTTGTGTAAACATAAGCTGTGTGTATCTAGTCCTGTGTTGTGATAAATGTCATGATCCGCAGGTGGGAGACTTTGCCATTTTACTGCGTGCTGGGTTTGATCGCTGGAGTGCCGCGCGCATGCAGCTGTCCACAGCCATGGTCGGGGTCCTGGGGGCGTGTGTAGCCCTCTACACTCAGTCTCCAAAAGGGACAGGTACATTTTAAATCTTTATATTACAGGGACACTTTAAGCTGCTTAGTGTCTCTAAATCTCACTTGTGTTTACAGAAGACACAGCCTCCTGGATACTACCTTTCACCTCCGGAGGATTTCTCTACATTGCTTTGGTTAGTGTGGTCCCGGATCTGCTGCAAGAGTCCAGTTTCAGGTATTTTAAAATAAATCTGCTATGTGTTTAAATTTTTGCTATTTTCAGTAGATTGTGTAACATTGGGGTTGTGTTAGAAGGATTATGATTTGGGGTTTTAAAATGTAACTAGGACAGAGCTGTGGGTGTGTACCTTGAACTATTGTATGTGAAATGGATCTGTTTATTTAGATTTCTCAGATATCACAGTGTTGATAATGCTTGCTAAACTTTTAAGTAGCAAAAGCACCTTGGATTCGCTGTTTATTTGAACTTTTATTGGTAAACCCATTAGTATCAATAAGTCTGAATGAGTGCATGTTTGTCTAAATATAATCTCTCATTTTCCAGGCAATCCATGCTCCAGATCTTCCTAATTTTCTCTGGTGTAGCTGTGATGGCTCTTCTCTCTGCCATTGTTTAAACAGGTTTCTCTGTTTCATCTGGTACCCGCAGTATATTTAATGTAAAGTATAGTATATTCCACAATCACAGCCTGTTACTGACATGACTGAAGCTGGCACTTTATGGACTTTATGGACACGGATAATGTGCCAAATTTAAACCAAGGGAATTAAATGAAAGGCGTATACCAAAAATGTTTTGCACATATGCAGCACATCACTTGGTTGTTAATCCCGCTATCTATGGCTTTTCACTTTATATATATTTTTTTTTACTATTTAAAAAATGTCTTATTTTCATGCAGCTGCTGTATTTATTGAAAAAGAGACTATCAATGCTTTGTTTTAGCTTGGCCTACATTCATGATTTGTCCCCTCTATCATGTTACAAAATAAGTGCCAAAACACTAGAATCTGTCCTACTTGTGTCAGGTTTAGGTCCCATTAACAAATGCTGTATTATATACAGTGAAGTATATTGTTTCCACATTTAAGCAATATCTTTATATTTTTGTTATATAGCTTGACTCTGAAAGAATGTTAGATAAATTAACAAAATAAATATAGAAATACTATTTTTATTTGGTGTATATTTGTGTAGAATTCCCAGAAAAAACTAACCATAACAATATAAGGTCGTTGTGGCATCTTTTAAAAAATAAACACAATGGAAAACTCACATGTCTGATTTTGTGGTATTTCATGGACTATTAAAAAAAAGCGTGTTTATAACACTAACTGTATTAAAGTGTACATGAGTGGGACACGCTGCTATAGGCCTGTGATCATTAGGACACTTAGATATTGATTGTACAGTGGAAGGTGCTGAGACAGGTCCCTCTCCTGTCCTCCATTGGGGATCATTTTGACCTTAACATAAATTGCCACATGAGACAAAGGGGACAGGGAACTGGTCTTGGATCAAGAGTGGTCCTAAAACTGGGCTGGATTTTGCTGGCACTTTGTAGGATGCTTCTTTTTTAAATTAGCCAGCACACGCAATGACTGTCCTCTTTTACTAAGGGGGATTTACAGCATACCAGAGACCATTACTTAGTACTATATTAATTAAATTGCTTTATAGCTGTTTTGATGTATGCTCTAAAATATTTTCTGGAATTATAACTTATACACTCTCTGAACCCACTGGTTAACCATAGTAAAGACATGGTTGGTTTGAGCTTACAATATGTTGACTAAGGGCTTAATTGACCCTATTAAGAAAGTGCACTTCTTGGAGTGATCTTGTTCATACCATTAGCCTAATGAATATCCCCTGACATGCTCTAATAGTTGGGCTGTGTTCTGTGGTAGTCCCAAAGTGATCAGTGAGGCTTCACAAATGACCACTCCCCCTCACAGCCTGGTCCTGGGCCCGCAGCATCCCGGAGGAGAGACAGCGCCGCTACATTCCTCCTCTCAGCATCCTCCGGCCCCCTCCCCCTCGCGCTCTGCTCCTGTACCATAACAGATGGTGGCAACAACATAGCATCCAGAGGCTCACCACAACAAAAGACGACGCTGGCTCGGCTCAACCATGTCTCCAGCCCGCAGCTGCGACAGGCTGTGAGTGCCGTCGTGATTGATTTCACGCGGTACCACGAGCACGGCCACGGAGACGAAACCTGCTTCTGCTTCTTGCGACTGTTTGGGCTCTCCATCGAGTGGGGAAGGAAGATGGCCGCTATGAAAATGTTAACCAGCGCGGGGCTTTTCTTGGCTATGTGCGCGCTGGGGTTGCTCGCCATGGCAATCTGCACCGACTATTGGTACGAGACAGATGCGAGGCGACACCGGGAGAGATGTAAGAACTATGCCAACAAGCGATACGACCCGGGATACATCTACATTTCCAACCCCAACCTCCCTCTCAAGATGCCCCCAAAGAGCGCGCTGGAGAGGAAAGGAACAGGCCCAGATGTGGCTCCTCTCCGCAGGGTTAAGCGGCACTTTGTGCCAGCAGCATCCGCGATGGAGTCTCACTGCAGCCGGCAGTTCAACTCCACCATCTCGGGTCTGTGGAGAAAGTGTCACCGGGAAGGCTTCGACCTGGAGACGGAAGACCTTATCTACAAAGGTAAACAGCGTTGGCGATAGCAGCCAGACAGCAGGCCATGATGCTGGGCTCACCTAGGGCCTCTCAAAACACGAAACATTTGGTCTGGCTCATTTCACTGGGGTTTAAGCATATGTTAATGTCAAGGAAAAGCCTTTCTCTTGCTCTGTCATACAAACTAGAATGTGTCTGTTGTGGCAGTGTAGTCTGTCTGTCTCAGTAACATATTGTTCATATTACAGCTGGGGAAAAGCAGCCTGCAAACTCTAGTTTATATGTTTCTGTGCCTTTCTGTGCGACCACACTTAAGAACCAGAAGCTTCAGTGACTCTCTGAGTAGTCTGATTATTTAGATTGTTGGGTAAAGCACACTTTGTCCTGCAATCCAGACTGGCTTTTCTGATCGGATGCATCCGGTTTGTTCATATACATTTTTCATAGATATGGTTTGGTCCTGGGCATATTTCACACCCGCCTCCCTCTCCTGTCTCAATCGGGCCGGGAGTCCTCCACAGTGTGACATAATGGCTGGTCTCCTCCATATGTTTTGTGACTGCTCCGAGCCATATCCTGTCAATGTGAATGACAGTGAAGTGGTGGCTAAAAGGCTTTCACAGAATACTTCTAATATTTAGTCTCCACAGACAAGAACTGTGCAGCTGCTCTATTCACAGCCCCGGCCTCACTCTGTGTGACAAATTAGCACATTAAGACTGGCTTGTAACACTATGGACCCTTACTGACTGTATTTATTGATTTCTATCTACATATATTTCTGTTAAGACTGTAGAAATCCAACTGTCTCTTATTTAAGCAGTATTCTCTATAAGAGTCCATGTTACATTCACATTAAAAAGTTGAAGGTTAAACTCTGGGTATTAGTGAGGCCAGTGAAGTGCAGGGCTCACAGCCAGACAGCGAATGTCAAACTCACTGTCCCACTATCAAATGTTTGCAAGCAGTCAGAAATAAACATGCACATAGGAGATGTTTTTAGATTGTTTCACCTGTAGGTTTAACTGGACAGCACAGGTGTAAGTGTGGAATGTGTGTGAAGAGTGGGGACTGACATTCACAGGCCTTCACAGAGAAAGCATTACCTGTGGCATAAACCTGTAGACAAACTAGGCAGTGTCAGTATTTGCTTTTATCAATATATTTATCAATGACTACTGCAGAAAACAGACTCATCACAGTGCAAATATCCTTAAAGGTCCCATATTCCACGAAATGGACTCTTGTGGGCTTTTGGTTATGTTAAATCATTACTATCTCCTCAAAAACATGCCTAAAGTTGTGTTTTATTTCATTCAGCCATGTTTGAGCAGCCCTTTATTATTATCAACAGCTATCTTTTACCTTTAGTTCAGTAGATATTGGCAATTCCAGGGCATGCAAATGATTCTAGTGAAGGTGTATGGAGTCCAAACATATATTGGACCACTTCCTGTATTTACCACATGACATCACAAGGTGGAACAGAGTGTTTTTTGTTTGAGAGAAGAACTGCCTAAATATGCAGGGTTTGTGTGTTAAACATGAGTGAATGAAACAAAACACAACTCCAGGCATGTTTGTGATGAGGAAACAATGTCATAACAGATCAGAAAATAGGGTAATATGGGCCCTGTAATGTGACGACTTCGCAAGATTCATCTCCAAAACTAACCCCAAACTAAATGCAGTTTGGCCTCACTAGACAAGCCATTTGATTCAAAGGCTCAGGAATGTACTATAATGTGCACTTGGATTGAAAACTGCAGGAAATTCTGAAGTTTTAAGTTGTCATGGCTCATGAGAAGTGACCATTAGGTTGCCACAAGCACTGAGTAAAGTCTACATAACATCCCTGATCATTTATTCTTTAGAGACACTTTATAAGAAGTCTGGTCTAAGTCTGTCTGTGTATATCCCATAGACTGAAAATATACTGTCTATCATAAATGAAGAAGAGGTGAAGGGGTATTATTAGTAGTTACAGTTATAATAATGTTTTTTCTCTTTTTTTTCTCTTCAAACATGAAAATATTCTGTAGACCTTTATACTTCCTCAGCTTGTGTGCCTAAAACACATGCAGTGTGGTTATTAAAATATAGAGTACTGCAAATTTGAAAGTAAAATTACCACTAAAAATGTACTCAGATGCAAATATAAGTACTACTTCTAAAATTGTACTTAGATAAAAGTAAAAAGTACACATGAAAAATGCCACTCATAGTAGTAGTTACCTTTTAACAGATCTTTTAGATTATTATTATAAGCTTAGTACATTTGTTTTTTCAGTAAATAACTTGAAGATAATTACAAAGATATACAGCTAGCAGATATATTGCTCTTAAAGGTGCACTATGTAACTTTTCTACTATGTAATCAGACCAAGTTACAGTTAAGATCCATGGAGAGGTAGCATGGCTTTTTAGCAATAAAACACAAAAGGATAAATGCAAGAAAAATATGTTTAATGTACTGGGGAATTTTCCAGGCAAAGCTGTAATATCTCCATGGAGACAAGCATTAGAAAAGTTACAGAAGGCACTTTTACATTTTAAGAACATATATGAAGTCAAATACTGTAAATCTACTACTCTATGATAATGTGATTGTTTTTTACCACTTTATGTTTGACAAATTCACAGAAATTTACAGTAGGTGAAGCCAAGCCTGTACTGTTGTTTAAGGCCCACATTGTGCTATTTTAGTTATAATGCTGTTTCCTCATCTCAAACATACCTGGAGTTGTGTTTTGTTTTTTTGTTTTTTTCAGACATGTTTAACACACAAACCCTGCATATTTAGGCTGAGTACTCTCTCAAAAAGGAAAACACTTTAATAATTAACAACACTCAATAATTTTAAGAACCAAATAAAATTACCTGTACCAAAGAGTGATTGAGAAAACAAACTGTATTAACATGTCAAAGTAACATAAAACATTGGACATAACAGCTGTACACATGATGATGAGAGTGAAAGATTATAGACAAAGCCGGCGTTTTTGATAGACTGTTGTGTGAGGCCCTGTTCTCTTCAGTACATAAGATGCTATGGCAGAAAAATTTGGTTGATTTGTGCTTTTTCATCCCAACTATGATCACAGCTGATGGCCCAGTGTTATGACAGCAGCTCTTTGTAGGAAATGTCTGTTTTTGTTTCAGTTTCAAGTGGTAAAGACGCTGCTAATTTGTGATGCACAGTTACTCCATGCTGTGGAAGCATGTGAAGGAACTGAAGAACAACTTGACTATTCTTTTTGTGATAATGGGCCAGGGAATTTTTACTAGTGTATGCATTATTTTTGTGCAGTGTTTGGTTATGATATTCAGTGGATGATTAGAGAAAGTTTGATGATAAGAGTTTGAAAAGTCTGTAGTTGAATAATAAGGGAGGGTATCTTACCTAAAAATCACATGCCAAATAACATGTGCAATGTTTTGCTTTTGTTTTTGTAAACCTAGAGAGAATGTGGAAGCCAAAATCAACTTGGCAGTAGGTAAACATGCACCTTGGGATGCCAGATAAGTTTGTGGAAATCCATTTGAGTGCATGTCACTTTCAAAACTAAACTTTTCAGTCAGACGACTGTGACTCTTGTGGAAATCAAAATATTTGTATTTAAAGTGGG